CAGTCCTGGCACGGACCTGCCTGGCCTCCTCGTTCACGGTGACCCTTCTTCTAAAACCTGTGCCGAGTCTTGGACTGCATGCATGGGAAGCACGAACCTTTGCCTTGTATGCAAAAAAGGTAGAAAAACAGCTAGGACAGAAAAGTTTTGGTAATTTAAGGCCATCTGTTCAAGTCCACCTTGGAAACCTGTCACAGACACTGAAACACTACAGTGAAAGGCATCTCAGTGTGCTTCATGAAAACGTTTGAAGTAATCTGCTAAGAGGAAGTGTGTAAAATATCATCCCCTCTGAGGGCACTCTGTCCTTTGCAGGGGTGGCAGGGCACTCCAGCCATGGGTAGGCTGCGATGGAGGCCTTGCTGCGGTCATGCAGTCGTACAGAAGCTCCTCCCCAGCGGCGATGTGAGACTGCTTTCTTTATCAGGAGACCTTGCCTGCTAGAAAGGCTGGCCCTTGGCTGATGTCTGGGAATTTGAACTTGAGAAGGATTGCCCCACTTCCTGATAAGAGAGGCCCACTGTTCCTAAACTGTGTGTGCCAACACTATGACTTAGGCTGAACACCTGCTTCCTTCTGGGAATGTGGAATTTGGGTATATGCCAGGCAGTGGGTGCCTGCGTGACCAGCCTCAAAGGAAAATGCTGGGTGCTGAGTCTCTAGGAAGCTTCCCTACCTGTATTCCACACTCACAGTGGTACAAGCTCCTGAGGGAATTCAGCCAAGGACTCTTGGAAACTCCCAGCTGGTTTCCTCTGGACCCCACCCCCACGTGCCTCTTCCTTCTGTTGTTTCATTTACAGCGTATCACTACAAGCTGTGTCCTCCAAGTCCCCTGGCCAGTGCTCGAGGCTGGAAGTGGTCTGAGGGCTACCAACACACCACATAGCTTCCAACTCCAAGACTAGAGTGGAGTTGATCCACTGACCTGCTGAGAGACTCTGAGCACAGGGCTCTGTGTATTAAAAGTCATTCCCTCTCCTCAGTGTCCCAGTCTGGGACTGTGTCCTGCTGCGGCAATGCTACAGAAAGAAGCAGAGGCACAAAGCTATTCAACACAGCTAATAATAAATCTGAAAAAACAAAACAAAACAAACAAAAAAATAGCATGCCCAAGAATAGGAAAATGGTACCATTATCTCTAAGAAACTAGTTAAAATGAGATGTATAAATACAAAGAAAAACATGAAACTGTCGGGGTTTTTTTGTTTTGTTTTGTTTTGTGCTAGTATTGGGATTTGAACTTGGGGCCTCATGCTTGTTATGCAGGTGCTCTACCACTTGAGCCATACTCCAACTCTTTTCATTCTCTACTTAAAAAAACTTGTAGTGGCCCACACCTCTAATACCAATGCCAGGGAGCTCGAGGCTAGCTTGAGATGCAAAGGAAGACCTGGCCTCAAAAAAAACCCTTTTATATAATAAGTAGTAAGATGAAAGTGACTGTCTGAGAGTGAAGAAGCTTGGACCTGCACTCATGTGGAAGGCGGGATTCATTCTTCCATAGATAAATAGCCTTACAACTTTAATATCCCTGTCCTAATGGACTAGGAAGTAGGCTGGGATGGATCTCAGTAGTACAGCATTTGCCCAACATGCATGAGAGCCTGGGTTTGACCCCCCAGAACCACAAAGTAAAACAAACAAAACTCTGTAGCATGAACCAAAAACTTCCTGGGGACTAGGTAAGGACACAGGGTAGTGTGGGTGGAGGCCCAGAATCCTTTCTTTGACTGTCACCATCTTGTATAAAGATTTCAAGGTGTATGCCTGAGGGGTGGGAGGACAAAGATGGTATTAAGCCAAATTTTTTATTCAGGATGGAGAGATTTAAGGGAAAAAAGGGACAATTAAAATATACATTTACTTCACCCACTCACTCCACTCCACAATTCTCTCTCTCTCTCTCTCTCTCTCTCTCTCTCTCTCTCTTGGCTAAATAGTTTTCTGTGCCTATGTGAGCACTGCTATGCCTATTTGAGCATTCTGAACTCATCAAACCATCATGAGGTTGAGAAAAAGGTACTAAAGTACAACTGGAGCCACCCCAAATCCAGGCATTCTTGTCATTCCCTGGAAAGTGTTACAAAGTTAAATCACAAAATGTGGGGGATGGAGGACTCCCTCAAGGATACACAAAAAGCCACTGGCAGGGCAGGGACTAGAACCTGCTGTCCCCATCCCCAGGCCAGGGCAGTGAGGCAGGCCCAGAATGCATCTGGACACTCCTCAGGGCCCAAGGAGGAGAGAAGAAGGCGCTCCACCTGGCCTGCAGATGAACTCCTTCCTGCCCCCAACACTCTCTTTTGAAATTTTCCAAAAATGGGAGAATTAAAAGAATGGACCAGTGAACACTCACCAATAAACCATTGCTAGCTCTTACAGTAATGTTTCATATTTGCTTTGTCACATATCAACCCATCCCTCTGTTACCCATTGATCTGAAATAGTTTTAAATTAAATTTTAACTTTTAGAAACCAGCCTCCATGGAAATTTCAGCCTCGACATATATCAGGAACTTGGTCTGTCATGAGGGTTTATGATAGATACCCTTGCTAGCCTGTTTTGCCCTGCTCCCTGTCAGTGCGCATGTAACCAAGGGACCTCGGCTGAGACTGAGCAACCTGAATAGCTGACCCTAGCTGCTCAGTGTCCCAGCCCACAGTTGGCCTGACAAGGACTTCCCAGACAGCAGCTTTGACCCTTTCTAAACACGGTCCTCCAAGATCTCCTGTGTTTCAAGAAAGTCAGAGCTGCTGCTCCTCGGGCCTGGAGGGGACCTGCCCTTGCTTTGCCAGCCACAGACACCTCAAAGAGGACAACACCCAGGAAAGCTGCCCCAGCCTTGCCCACAGCATCCTCCCCTCCCCCACCCCCATCTGCTGTTCTCCCTGTGGAAGCTCAATTCACAAGGGAAGTTTAAGTCACGAAATGCCAGTGGGTCTCATCCCAGCTGCAGAAGGAAGAACAGAGGAGACACAGAGCCCCACCCCCGCACCCCTGATTTCAGACTGATGGTGAAGAAGGCCACAGGGCATTGGCCTAACCAACTCCATTTTGCTGCACTCTGCCTCTACTTTTCCTTCTTTAATTTTTTCCTCTTAAGTCTCTCTCTCCTGAAGCCACCTTGGATTCCAGGAAGGACAGGATTGATGGATAAACATCTTTATGACAAGGAAAGGGACTGAAACTACCCCTAAGGAACAGCAGAGGCTCACAGGACAGACCAACCCCAAAATGAGGACAACTACCCTGGAGTAAGAGTCATCATCTCATGGGAACCAGATTGCTCCCCTCAAGTGATGACAACTTCTTTGGGATGACCCCTCCCACCAACCAGAACTGTGATAACGACAGATCACCGGCCTGGCCAAGGTGACCTGCTCCTTCAGCTATATGTGCTCCACACCTCCTTGTCTCCCTATTCTTGAAAACCTTGGACTTTTTGTAAACTCCTTGAAGAGGATCTTGGGGTCACTGAACCTCTTTATCTGTCTTCCTAACGCCAGCACATTGGAGTAAATCTTTTTTCTTTGCTGTCCACCTTGAGAGTTCTCCTTGATTTGTGTATTGGGACTGTGGCAGAACCCAGTCCATTTTGGGACTCTGGGACTTTTCTCCCTAAAAGTCTAGTTACTGTGTGTCCAGAAGCTCCCAGTCACTCAGCCCTCTTGTATACACAAGTGCTGAAAGATGAAGCTGGAGACCCCTCCTACCCTGGCCCATCCCTCTCTCCCCCATGCTGGCCTCTGCCCCCCACCCCGTGTGAGCTTTAGTGTGGCCTCCTCCACCTTCTCTCTAAAATACCCAGGTCTCTCATACAGTTAAGCTTTTCCCTCCTCAGTTTGTTCACCAGGAAAATCCTTCTCCCTGTGAAGAATCCTGAGGCAGAATCCAGAAGAAACTCCCAGGGCCATGAGCTCAGCAGTTTGTCCCCTGCAGCCCTGGCAGCTCTGTCTGCGGTGGCTGTTCACGGGTCTCTCCCAGCCTCGCAGAGAGGGAGCGCCATGCCCAGAAGGGCCAGCCGCAGAGGGTGCCATGCCAACACTCGCAGCAATTGCACAAAGCCGTGAGAAGCGGAGTGTAGAGGCCCCGGCAGAGGTGATGCGGGTGTCTGAGGGGTCAGCTGAGGCCACGGGTGCCACCAAGGGAGCCCGGGTGCGGGGAGTGAGAGCAGGTACAAAGCTGAGGTTCAGATTCTGAACCCCACGCTCAGGTCTCAGTGTTTCCTTCGGCAGATTAAGCTCAAATGGTGACGGCCTCAGTTTCCTCCTCTGCAGACTAGGGTTAGAAATGCCTGCCTTGGATGGCTGGGAGGTTCGGCTCTGGGAAATCTTGGGGTGTGCAGAAAAAACCGCTATTAATAAGAATCATCACTTATTGTCCCTCACCCGCGTATCTCCATCACCTCTCTCTGTCGGTCCAAGCAAGAAGCAGTCACTCCGCAGAGACCTCCACAATCCACACAGCTTGCTCCCTCGCCATCGCGGAGGAGCCTGCAGTGTCCACCAGGGGGCAGCACGGGCCCGTCATCGCCTTTCCCCGAGGGCGAGCTGCCGGGTCCTGGGCGAGGGTCCCCGGCCCCGCCCGCCGTGTTCCCTGGGGTCCGGATGCTGCCCCTCCCCCACCCTGGGTTGGGGCCCTCGGGCCCGGGGCGGGGGCGGGGGTCTCAGGAACTCCCTGCACCCCACCCTGGAGCTCAGATGTCCACACGCACTCCCACCCTCGGGGTCCGCCCCTTCCCGGGCGCGATGGCAGCTGCCTGTTCCCCAGGCGACCGTCAACACGAGCAGGAGCAGGGCTCCAATGCTGTCCCCAGCCTGGAAGGCTTCTATCTCCCACGGCCACTCTGAGCTCACGGTCCAGGGGCGACAGTGAAAAGGACCCTTGAAAAGACTCTCTGGGGGTGCCCCGGAGAGGTCAGGCAGTCTCTCTCTCTCTCTCTCTCTCTCTCTCTCACACACACACACACACACACTCTCTCTCTCTCTCTTGCATCATGGGGAGCCGCCCCACTCCTGGGCTCCAGAGAACCACATCGGCTGGGTACCGACTTCCCCCAACCAGGCCGCCAGCCTCAGTCTCCCCGGCTGTCCAGGGTGGCCCTATGGCGGGCAGGGCTGTTGCTGGCGACTGCCAGGCGCCAGGGACCCCGCGGGTGGCCCTTGGCGTGCAGCAGGACCAGCTGTGGCGCGAGCTCGTGGAGGCCGAGGGGCGCAGCCGGCGGCGCTGGTGAGTGTCCTGCGCCTGTCTCCCTGTGCCCAGAGCCACCTGACCTGGGGTCGTCTGAGAAGTTTCTTGAGGAGGTTGAAATTGGGTGGGAAGATGGTGATGCGAAGGAGAGGGAGCTTAGGGGAGGAGGGTCACACTTGAGCAGAAGGAGCAGGAAAGGAGAGGCTGGAGGGCGCAGAGAAGAGCCATCCCTGGGCTGGCGCTGAGGGACAGACTGGAGCAGTGGCCTTGGCTACCGTGGCACTGCCTGACTGGCCATAGCACAAGGAAAGGTTCATGCATTCACTCAGTGAAAGAAACCCTTGAGCCGCTCTGCAGGCCTGCAAGAGGAAGCCAGGCAGGCTTGGCGGTGGCCCTAGGGGGCCTCCATTCCCAGGCCTGGGAGGCCAGAAGGCCGGCAGAGAAGTGAGTGCCTCTCAGTTCAAAGTGCACTGGAGTTAAGGAGAGAGGGACTGGGCACAGAACAAGCAAGCACTCCCTTTTTATAAGTGCTCACAGAGGGCCTCACTGAGAAGGAAACAAGGAAGCAAAGACCCAAATATGAGAAGGGGCCCAGAGTGAGCTTAGTGTGCTCAAGAGAAAAACCAAGAATGTCCACGTGGCTGAAACACAGGGATGGAGGAGAGCCAGCAGATAGGTGGCCAAGCCCTTGTGAAAGTCTGGAGGAAGCTTTTCCAAATGTGAGAATTCTCCAGGGGTTTTGGTGTGACTAGGTTTAGTTTAGTGGAACTCTAGAACTGCTCATCTTGCATAATGGACACCTGTGATTAGCAGTCCTTGGCAACCACCTTGTATTCTGTCCCTCCCTGAGTTTCTCTTTTTCCATACCTCATAAGAATGGAATCCTGCAGTCTTTGCCTTTCCACTTCTGGCTGACTTCACTTAGCATAACGGCCTCCAGGTTCATTCATGTTGTAGTATGTAGAATTCCCCCCTTTTTAAGGCTGAATAATATTCTCTTGCGTAGCTATACCACATTTCTTATCCATTCATTCCTCAATGAATGTTCCACTTTCAGGCTGCCGTCAATCATTTGGCAATGAGCATGGGAGTGCAGCTATCTCTCAAGATCCTGATTTCAGTTCTTTCAGATACATAATTAGAAGTGGTGTTGAACTCTGGGTCGTACGGTAGCTCTATGTGACATGTTTTAGGAACCACCACAACTCTTTCCCACAATGGCGGCACCATTTTTGCAATCTCACCAACAGTATGCACGGGCTCCATCGTCTCCACCATCTTGCCAACACTCATTGGTTGTCTTCTGTTTTCTGTTTTTGATAATAGCTGTCGCCACAGGTATGAGGTGACATCGCATGGCTTTGATTTGCATTTCCCTGATGATGGGCGACATTGAACTCTTTCCATCTACTCTTGGCCATTTACCTATCTTCTCTGGAAAACTCTTAACTCATGTCCTCAGCCTATTTTTCAAATTGCGTTGTTTGGTTTTATGCTGTTAAGTAGTAGACATTTCTAGTATGTTTTGGAAATTGATCTCTTATCTTATATATCAGAGACATGCTGGCAAATATTTCCTCCCATCCCAAAGGTCGCCTTTGACTCTGTCAAACTGCTCCTTTGTTGAGCAATTTATTTTATTTATTTTTTTATCTTTTTTTATTATTGTGCTGAAGTACATTGTGACATTTACACAAGTTCTTACAATGTATCATAGCTGGATTCACCCCTTCCATCATTCTCCTTTATATCCCCTCCCACAATTCCTGGAATAGTTTCAACAGGACTCATTTTTCCATTTTCATAAGTGAGTACACAATATTTCCACCAGTTTTTTTTTTTGTTTTTTTTTTTTTAGTTTAATGCAATCCCATCTGTATATTTTTTGCTTTTTGTTACCGGTGCATTGATGATAGCACATCCATGAAATCATTTGCCAATGACAAACTATTTTTTGGGAGGAGGGTTATTTTTGTTTTGTTTGTGGCACTGGGGTTTGAACTCAGGACTTTGTGCTTGCAAAGCAAGCACTCTACCACTTTAGCCACATTTCCAGTCCATTGTGCTCTGATTATTTCAGAGATGGTGTCTCACAAACTATTTGCCCAGGCTGGCCTCCAACCACAGTCTTCCTGACCTCAGCCTCCCAAGAAGCTAGGATTACTGGCATGAGTCACTAGCATCCCTCACCTGTACTTTTGAGTTGATTTTTGTGTATGGTCTAGGAGGAGTGTCCAATGTCACTGTTTTGCATATGAAATGCTACTGCATAGCAAAGGAAATAAAAGGGTGGAAAGGCAGCCTGAAGAAGGCAGAAAGTGTTTGTGAACTGAGTAGATGTGGGAGGAGAGGTGGAAGGAGTGAAAGGTGACTCCAGCTTGGATAATTAAGCCTGAATACTAAGGGAGAAGAGCAGACAAGTGAAGACCTGCATTCTGGTGAGTTCTAAATACCTGGATCACATCCAAACGGAGCTGCCTGGAGGCAGCTTATGTGAGAGTCCAGAGCTGGATGCTGAAAACCCATGCAGATAGGAGTGGACTTGTGGTTCCGGGAGCTAAGAGAGGAACAGGGAATGACTGATAGTGGACACTGAGTTTCTTTTTAGGTGATGAAATGTTCTGGAAACAGACAGTGGTGACACAACTCCCTGAATCCACTAAAAACCATTCCAGGAGGGCGACTCCTAGTGTATGTGAGTTACATCTCAATTGTAAAAAGGAAAACGTGGGCGTTGATACAAGCGATGTGAGTGAGCACTGCGGATCCGAAGAGATAAGGACAGAGGACAGAACTGAACATTCACTAGCAGTGCAGAGAAGGTACTAGGAGTTTGAGAAACAAGACAAGAAGAGAGCCGGAGGGCAGGAGGCCTAAGAACCAGGAGGAAAGGGATTGGCAAAGCCAGGAAGGCCCAGGGGGGATAGCTGAGGTGATGCTGCCCTGCAGAAATTCAATCTGAGCCCCTTATGTAATTTTAATTGTCTACTAGCCACCTTAAAAATGTAACAAGTTCATTTGAGTAATAGATTTTATTCCATCCTATATATCCAATTTTATCATGTCTACAAAAGGTCAATATAAAAGGTTATTGAAGAGATGTTTTACATTCTTCTTTGTACCAAGTCTTTGAAACCCAAGTGTATTGTGCACTTAGAGTGTCTCCATTAGGACTAGTCACTCTTCAGGTGTTCAAGAAGTCAACTTATCTCATTTTATGTTTAGGGACCTGAGAGCCCACAGATACAGCAGAACAAGCATGAGGACTCAGGCTTCTTTCCTGTCCCTCACTGGATGTCACGTAGTCATAGCACAACTCTGAGTGAGGTCCCTTCCTTGTGTCACCGCAAACCCAAATGACTGAAACACAGCTCCCTAAGGACAGCAGAGAAAGCAATAAGGATGGGGACGTGAAAGACATTTTTGGAAGATAGAAAGAGATGAGGGAGACGAAATAGAAACATGGTATTATCGTGTACACTTGGGGTTTTCAACCAGGTCCTTGGCCCCAAGGCAGACCAGAGAAACCAGATTTCTTTTTCCCAAGGCAGGTCATAGAAACACTTCCCTTCTCCTGACCTTCCTTCTTGGAGTTGGTCATTCCTTTGTCAGAGCAGGTTAGAGGCCCTCCTCATTCCAGAGGAACCCTGCCCCCTGCCCTGGGGAGGAACGTCTGCCAGCATCAGATCACGCCATTTGTCCATCCATGTTTCAACACGGTATCTGTGCTTCAATCAAGTCATGTGAAGCAGTTCTGTAAAACCCCAACAGGGCAGGGATGAGAGACTTCCCAATACCTGGACACATGGAGGTGTTAATGACACTGGTGCAGTCTGTGATCAGGAGACTCACAAATTCTTTGTGTCCTCGGGAAGAATCCATGGCAGGACACATGGGTATAAATGGAGTTTATTTAAAAATTAGGGAAGGGAAACACAAAAGGGAGCATGGTGGGGCCCAGGTGGAATCTGGAGGCAGAGAGAGTGTGTTCTGCCTTTCAGGTGCTTTTAAAACCTACGCTAACCTATGGGAAGGGGAGAACCCGGTGATTCCCATCCAGTAATCAATGAGTGGGGCGGGGCCTGGGTGTTCCCAGCCAGGTGAGGGCGGTTCCTGAGCCAAAGCAGGGTTAATCAGAGTTGTAATCTTTTTCTGAATCCCAAATTTTCCCTAGTTGTAGCCTCAAAGATTCCAGGAGAGTGGCGTGTCCTATGCATCTCTTCCTCTGTATCCTTGTAATGTCCTGTAAACACAGTTTCCCTGAGTTCTGGGGACCATTCAAACAAATTAACCAAGCACAAGGAGGGAGTGTGGCAACCCCAATTTGGAGCTGGCTGGTCAGAAACACAAGACAACCTATGACTGGTAACTGGCACCTAAAGCTAGGGGAGGGACAGTCTTGGGACTGAGCCTCAGCCGGTGACATCTGATCTTATCTCCATCAGAAGTCAATGGGTTAGAGGACACACAGCTGTGCCTGCTGCTGCACAATTGTCTGCTTGACATGTGGAGACAAACCCCACACATCTGGTGCTAGATGTCTTCTACATTGGTTGTGCTATGAGAGCAGAGGAAAAACACCAAGATTTTATTGTTTTTCCAACACAATCTGAAAATAGGAGGCATGGGTCAAAGTCTGTTTATAGAACATATTTGAAAAAGAACCAAACAGAACTTCTAGAAATAAAAAAGTAAATAAAATTGAGAATGTAAAACACAACCAAAGTGAGAAATCATAGGAATTACTAACAACAACAACAAGAAAAAAAGAGAGAGACAGGACCAGGTGGTCCCAACCATCTTTAGTCAGAGCTCCCTGAGAAAATGTGAGACCCTTCCAGAAGCAAAGAAATGTGAATCCACAGATTCTGGGCACTGCGCTCCACACAAACAAAGACAGACCTGGGATCCCAAAGAGGGACAGAAAGCCAGGGTGGTGGTGAGGGAGGGATGGCTGTGGCTGGGCCAAGGACAGTAGGAGTGCCTCCGGCCTCCACAGGGGGAAAACATTGATTACTTGCTGCATTTGATAGTGAGAGGGCTTTAGAATTTGGTTGGAGCATTTGTCGAAAGTGGCCATGCATAGAATCTGAAGAAATTGAGAGAAGAAAGACTGAGTTGGCCAGGTGGCGGTGACTCACGCCTCTAAGCCTAGCTACTCAGGAGGCAGAGATCACAAGGATTAAGGTTCGAAAGCCAGCTGGGAGAAATAGCTTGTGAGAACTTATCTCGAAAATACCCTAGACAAAATAGGGCTGGTGAAGTGGTTCAAGTGCTAAAGCGTTTGCTTAGCAACAGTGAGGCCCTGAGTTCAAGTCTCAGTGCTACCAAAATAAAAAAGAAAGGTGTAGTTTATAAGAAAGGAGCTAGGACCGTAATTATACTCCTTAATTCATCAGTAAATAGTGTCTATATAACCATCGAGTGTAAGCAATATATATCAATCTGAAAAAGTTCTATAGTATATTTATTTTGGAAGAATGAGGGGAAGGGAGGCAGGTCAGCATGCTAACTCAATCTCTCTTATCATAGGAAGTCAACAGATAAATTTACATTCTTAAAAATCAAGCAGTGGTAATATAAGCATATTATTTCAAAACATGGCATCAAAAGGCCAGAAGAAAAAGACTGGAAACAGCCAGGCAATGGTGGCCATGCCTGTAATCCTAGCACTCAGGAGGCTGAAGCAGGAGGATTGCAAGTTCAAGGTCAGCCTAGGATACATAGTGAGACCCTATCTATCAAAAAGACTGGAAACAGTCTGACTCTGAGACATGGGCCTCAGGAGCTGTGAGGCTGGGTCAGAGAGGCTGTTTTTATTATAAGTCCTATACAGTCCTATCTGACTTCAAAAGACAGATTCCAAGAAAAACTAAGTGCCAAGCTTGCCATCCTCCTGTCCATCCTCCCGTCTCCCACCCATTCAGAAGCCTATGATGAGGACCTGAAAACTTCTTCTTCACAGAATACTTGAGGTTTCCTAATGTAGTTCCTAAAAAAGCACAGAGACCCATGGTGAGATTGCAGACACCAGTTTCCTTGGCAATGTAGTTACCAGCTCAGAGTCACAGTCATGGAAACGTTTGTCCATGTTACAGGATGCACCGTAAATCCTCTGTGACTCTCGGTATTTGTTTCAGTTACAAATTGTTTCAGTTCTTCCATGAGGTGATACACAGTGATCTGGACTTATTTACTTGACTCAGTCAAAGCCCATCTTGAAAATGTCTCAGAGGGAACTCACACTGTCTACGTGTTTTTCCTTTCCAGGACTGAGAACTGGGGTTTCCTGAAAGACTATGACCCGATGGTAAGGTGAAATGTGCTCCTGTCAAACTCACTTGCAGTGGAATATTTATTTATTCTTTGACTTATTCACCTAACATTTATGATAGAGGATCTATTCTGTGCTCGATGGTGGAATGAGGAATAAAACAGTCTTGTTTTAAGAAACTCAGGGTCTGGTGGGAAAGAAAATATTGATATAGAACATTTACAAAAATTTCCCTAGTGTTTGTTGATTTTATTAAAATGAGCCAAATGGAAACGACAGGCCTTTGCTGCTGAAATTCCCCCGCCCCGTTCAGGACATCAGCCATGTAGCAATGTGGGTGTGCCAAGCCCAGAAGGAGAATGAATTTGGAGCCGGGAGCTGGTGGCTCGCTCCTGTAATCCCAGCTACTCAGGAGACAGAGATCAGGAGGATCACAGTACGAAGCCAGCCCAGGCAAAGATTTCATGAGACCCTATCTCAAAAAAATAAATCACAGCCAGGCCCTGGTGGCTTACACCTATAATCCTAGCTATTTAGGAGGCAGAGATCAGGAGGATTGCAGGTCAAAGCCAGCCCAGGCAAATAGTTTGTGAGACCCTATCTCGAAAAAACCCATCACAGAAAAGGGCTGGTGGAGCGGCTCAAGTGGTAGAGTACCTGCCTAACAAGTGTGAGGTCTTGAATTCAAACTCCAGTGCAGCAAAAAAAAAAAAAAAATTCTGTAAACATTTCCTGTGTCTGATAGCTCCACCTCCAATCCATCCTCCACTTTGCCACCAGAATAATTTCCCTACACTGGCAAAACTGACCACATAACTCCCCTGGTTACAATTCTTCAGTAAGCCAGGCACAGTGGCTCATGCCGTAATCCCGACTACTTGGGAGGAGGAGATAAGGAGGATCACCATTAGAGGCCAGCCCTGGCAAAAAGTTTCAAGACTCCCATCTCAGCAAACAAGTTGGGTGTGATGGTGCATGCCTGTAATCCCAATTTACCTGGGAGGCATAGATAGGAGGATCTAGATCCCAGGCCAGCCCTGGACAAAAAAACAAGACTCTAATTAAAAAATAATTTAAGCAGAAAGTGCTGAGGGATGTGATTGAAATGATAGAGGGGCTGCCTAGCAAGCCTATGGCCCTAACTTCAAATCCTAGTATTGCCAATTAATTAGTTAATTAAATCGTTTAGTAAGTCAGACATTTTCTGACTTACAAAGCCTTGAGTGATCTAACTGCCCTTCCTCTTTGTTCACTGCAAATCAACCAACATGCTGTCTTTGATCTGTACCCTTGTTTATGCTCTGCCTCTGCCTAAGAGGCCCTTCCTACCTTGCCAGCCTGGTGGGCTCCTATTCACTCCTCAAGACCCACCTCAAGCTCCTCCTCTCCCAGGGAGCCTTCCTTTCTGGAGCAGGCTGACCACATGGCACCTTTCTGACTCACCAGCTGTGTAACCACTTTTGTTGTGGCATGGAATGTGATATGACAAGGACCCATTTTGCCAGGCTGTGGGCTCCTTAAGAGTGAGGACAGCGATGGCTTCATTGCTGTGCCATCCCCAGCCTGTGTGCCATCCCTGCACCCAGTGGGGAAACTAGCACTCAGTTCCTATTGGGTGGGTGAGGGAACAGACAAGTGAACCTAACTACGTATGAATGGTCAGAGAATCAACCTGGGAACGAGCGGGGCACAGAGTCAGCGGGGGTGACAGCGCACTGATGTGGCCTTTCAAGGCTGAGAAAGGTTTCCTGCTGTACTGTGGGCTTGTCACTGTACACCTGGAGACAAAATGTAGTTCACTGCACCTGAAATTCTGCCCTCAACTCTGGTCCTGGTTTCCGGCCTGTGAGTCTCTCCCTGCTCAGAGCTGTGTGTTTGCTGCCTGACTGCGGAAATCCACATCACACCCAAAGTGTGTGTGTGTGTGTGTTGTGGTGGGGAGGGTACTTCAGGATGGCCTTTCCCAGGGAGAGCCAGGACTGCATTATTTGACTGTGGTGTCACTTCTATTAGACACAGGGTGGCACAAATTTAACCTTACACAGGCAGGGATAGCAAAGAGTGTAGCAGATTGTTCTCCCCACACACACACATTTTTTTTTGAGTTAGGGATTTGAATTCAAGACATGCTCCCAGCTTTTTTTTTTTTTTTTTTTTTTTTGCCTTAGGTTATTTTTTTAAAGTAGTATTGTTTTTGTCTTGCCCAGGCTAGCCTGGACCATGATTTTTTTTGCCTATGGCTTCCTGGGTAGCTGGAATCACACCACCACACCCAGCTTATTGGTTGAGATGGGGGTCTCACTGTTTTATCTGACTGGCGTTGAACCTTGATCCTCTTGATCTCCACTCTCAAGTGGCTAGGATTATAGGCTTGAGCCACCATGCTTGGATTTGTTAGATTATTCTTTTTTTGGGGGGGGGTACTGGGGTTTAAACTCAGGGCCTCATGCCTACTAGGCAGGTGCTTACCACCTGAGCTACTCTGCTGGCCCTTTCTTTTCTTGTGATGGGTTTTTAAAGATAGGGTCTCGTGAACTATTTGCCTAGGGCTGGCTTTGAACTGCATTCCTCCCGATGTCTGTCTCCTGATCAATGCAGATCAGGGTAAAAGCCAAGAGTTTTGGGGTTCACCAGGCTGAAGAAGGCAAGGCTGGCACGGGCTGCAGAGCGGTATTGCTCTAGGATGAAATCCCAACAGAGAGGCCATCTGCTCTCTGTCCTTTTCTGTCCTAAGGATCCTGATGGAAGGCAGGTCTCCCCTTTATCTATGAGGTGTGTGACCTTAGTTGTCCCCTCCCTCAGGGCAATAAGAAGGAGCCTGAGAAGCTGCTGGAGTATGTATCTTTCTTCTCGAACACAGTCCCCAACTCCACCAACCAGGTTGTGGGCAGCAGGGTGGACACCCCACTGGGGAGAGGCCTCATGCACATGGACTTCTTCTTCTCTGAAGGGGCTCGGAAGAAGAAGCTGGAGGAGGAGCTGCAGTCTGTGTAGGGTGAGAGGGCCCTGCTCTCCACAGGTGGGTGTGGGCCCCGTGGGCCGGGATCAGTGCTATGTGACCAAGGGCCACAGCTGAGCAGCTGGCAGCCATAGGAAACAAGACCGCATCTCCAGATGGGGGAGAGAAGCACACGGGTGTGAACAATGTTACAGGGTCAGGGTCAGAGCAGGACTGAGAGGAGGCAGCCATGCTCCTGACCATAATTTAGGGTTTCCTTTCATGTCCCTGAGGTGAAAGAGCTTGGGGTTATGTTGCCTGGGGCAGGTTTCATGAGTCTTCTTGTTCCCCTGTGTAGAAATGAGTCACAACCCCAGTATTGACCCTCGGGGTCCACATGTGGTTGGGGGGAGATGAGACTCCAGGGCATCGCCAGTTCCAGGGTTCTGGTTTCTGAGCATTCGGGGAGCATCACAGGTGGTTCTTTTCCAGAGCATGGTAGTCAGCTGCAATTATGCAGAGTAATCTTGGGCCCATTTCCTGCTCACAGATCTGCATGTCGTCATTGGCTGACCTTGGTAGCAAGTGCCATGCTGGGTCCAGGTCTTGCCTACCTGTGTCTTATCCTCGTGGACCTACAGCCTCCTGTGGCACAATCTTCTCATGGTCCATCACAGAATGCCAGAGCCTAGTTGCACCTTGGGAGCACACAGGAGGCTCCAGCATGCAGAATGTCAGAATGTCGTCTACACTTGCAGCTCACCTGTGTGGACAGGGACCCTCCTCTTAGCCGTGCCCTCTCCACCCCTGCTTCCTGAGCCATCTGCCTGCTACCTACCAGGCCAAAGGAGGGGCAGCTGCCCCCACCCTTTTGCCTCATTTGGACCAGAACAGGAATGACGGATGGACTGAGAGGGGTTCGGGCCTCAGGTGTGGAGGAGTGGCACCAGGCCTGCAGGTCACAGGTAGCAGAAGTGTAATAGAGAAACATAATTGTGACAACCCATGGGCATCTCAGAGCCCATGGGCAGGGCAGTGTCAGGGGCCCACAAGAGACTGGACTCAGGAGCTGAAGAGCTGTAGCAAAGTTTGGTAGGGTTCTGCTGTCCCCTCTGATCACTGCAGCTCTGCGCACCTCTGCCTCACGAGGTTCCCTGTGGCAGAACCAGTGTCTCTGCTTCCACGTGCTGAAGAATGACACCATCCACAGAAGCACGAAGTGAGTCAGAAAAGCAGGCAGTGGGCAAGAAATGATGAGGACTCGAGGCCCAGAACCAACCACAAAAAAAAAAAAAAAAAAAGACAGAGAAAGAAATGATGGGAAAGTGTAAAAAGGACAGAAGAGCCAACATGAAGGGTTGCCCACTGACCAAATTTGGGACAACATGATCGCTGAAACAAAGGACAAAGAGCCCACACCTGGCTATACCTGTGACCATGGTCAGTGCTCACCAACTCCATTTAGTCACAGTAATAATAATAAAAAAGAATGCAAGAGTTCATCCTCACATATATACTGTAGTAGATACAATATATACACTATGTATTTGGGTTTTTGAGACTGTCTCACTACGTCGTAGCCCAGGCTGGTCTCCTACTAGCCATCCTCCTGCCTCAGCCTCCCAACAACTGGGATCGCTGTTGTGTTACCACACCTGCCACCAATAATTTGTAAAATTCCAAGTATGGAGGAAGAACTTTTTTCTATTGAAGAATATACAATAAATAATAACAGAAAATTGCCATTTTTATGCCTACCACAATAAGAACCGATTTAGGTAAGAATTAATAACTGACATGAAAACTGTTGGGTTAAAGATTCTTAGGCAACGGCGAATGCCAAAATCTAGAAGATACTGTCTTTGCCACCTTCTGACACTTAGCCAGGTGCCTCCTGGAGTGATGATCTGGGGACATGGGCAGCCTCACCTAGGAAGCCCTTTCCCCAATAAATAGGTAATACGGTAACCTGAGTTCCATCAGGAAAGCACTCTGGGCAAACCTGGACTTGCTGGCTTTGATTGTTCAAAAAATGTCAATGCACGACTGACTAAGGAAGGCTGAGGCAGTGTTCCAGATTGAAGACAAACAGGCCAAGATCCTTGACCTGTTCCGGGTCCAAGCACAAGCAGCTACCCAGGACACTTTGCAGATTAAGTATTGTGAGGTGGCAGGCTGTGTATGAGGTGATGGAAGTGTATCCGTGTTGCATTGTGATGGAATGATGACACTGTTTCGCAGAGGAGTGCTCTTGCTCTTAGGATCCTTGTTCTGCTGACAGACTTAGTAAAGTGCCAGGATGTCTGCAGCAAACTCACAATCACCATGGCGTAACAAAAGTTGCGTGGTGTGTAAGTAGAGACAGCTAAAATTATGTGAATAGAAACGTCAGCCAGCAACTAATCTAGATGAGTGTTCATTGTTATTCTTGATTGAAGAGAAGAGCCAGGGAGATAAGGAAACCAGTCCCCTGCAGGTATTCTTTGGTCAGCTTTGGGCAGTAACTGACTTTGTATTTAGTTCCGGGAGGAGCAGGGTCAGGCTTATAAACTGTGTCCACTGTAACCCAGTGGGTGGGAAGGACGCAGGGTTCTCCAATATGAAGGCACTGGAGAGACACCTGGTGGGTGTGTACTGTAGGGACTCCCATCCAGGCACACTCCAACCTCCTGAAGACAGAGGACCTTCAAGGGCCCGCTGTTTTAATGCAGTAATCTGGGCAGAAAAGCCACATGATATAGGGATGTCCCAGCCATGGTACAGGGTTGGGGGTAGGGGGCACTGGGACCCAAACACCTTTCTGCAGGGCCCAAGCCTGACTCCACCTGGGGCCAGTATCCCACCCCTTGCTTTAGGAGCAGAGGCAGTGCTCCTAAATCCCAAAAACATGTCCCTAGTTTGCACCTAAGTGTGTATGGGGCAGGGGGAGCGGAGAAACCACACATTCTGAGCACTGAGCTTTTCTCCATGCTTCTCAGTCATGGCTGGTTTTCCCCATTATAAAATGGAGAAACTGAGGTCCAGGAAAGTTAGTGTTTATCCAGGGAAATGCCAATGCTGAAGGATGGCTGACACCCTGTGCCACACTTTTACATCAGCATGTGCTTGTCTTCACCCACAGCAACCTGGGAGGGAGATGTGGGGTTACCTTTCCTACAGCACTGCCTCACCAGCCACCTCAGTAGCCGACAGCTCCAGGGAGCTCTGTCCTTGGCCAGGGTCACACTCCCTGGGTGGTTCTGGGACTGACACCTTTCCCAGGTCCCTAATGCTGCCAGCATCTCCCACCAGCAGGCTGGACCCTATGTGTGAGCAGCTCTCTTCTAGACTGGTTCTGGGGGCCTATCCTCCCTCGAATAAACTGATACAGGGAAAAGGAGAAAGGAGGGATCGGGGGAGCGCCATGGGGCAGGACCAGACACTTCCAACCAGAGCCACCTCCTTGCTTCAACAGATGTGTCAAATGACATACAGTGAAACCCACGCACACAGGAGGCTCTCGACAGATTCTAGAAGTTTCTATAGTTGTCATTGCTGCTAATAAGATCCTCCTCCCCCTTCCCCTCCTTGCCTGTGTTTTCTGACTCATAACCTGACCCCAATACACATGAGATTTCCAGAGGCTACAAAATGCATCACCACCTTCCGTTTTTGCGCCTCAAGGGTCACGTCCAAGTTCCCTCTTATCAATAGTAGTCTACTTAACCCCTGAAGAAAAGCCTCTGAAGTTCAAGGGTGGGGGCGAGGAGGGGGTCCAGGTCTAGGGAGCAAGCCCCCCAGAGGGCTCCAGGAGTGAAGTCGTATGGCTCGAAATAAACCACCCAGGGCGGTGACGGGTCCTGGGGTTCTCCAGGCCTGTTCCCCCACCAGCAACACCGGGAGGATGCAGGATGCGCTCTAAGTTGAATTGTTCAGTGAAACGTTTCAGTCTCTGAAATGCTTATAGAAAAAAAAAAAAAAAGATTGAGTGGGAAATCCCAATAGTCCTCCTGCGAGGGGGACCCTTTTGGCCCGCTGCCCACCCAACCAATGGGGAAGCTAGACTGGGCGTTTCTCCGTGGTGGGTGAAGGTGGAAAAGTGAATCAGCAGCCTGCAGAGCCCAGGGCAGGACTGAGCCACCGCCCCGGGGCGTGGGTACCAGGGGGCGGGGCTACTGGGGGCGGGGCGGTTCAGGGGGCGGGGCGATTCCGGGCGGAGCGAATGGGGACGCGGCGAACTGCCGCAGCGCAGATGGTGGGCGGTGTGAACGTAGGAGCGAGGCGAGCCTGGGGGCGGGGCTAGGTGGAGGGCGGGGCCGGGGCGGGACCGGAGCGGGGTGGGCGGGGCGGAGCGGGGTGGGCGGGGTGGGGCGGGGCCGGGGCAAGGCGGGCGCGCGGGAAGGCGGAAGGACTCCTAGCAGCGGGTTGAGGGCTGGGCGGTGAGTTTTCCGGCTCGGTCCCAATCCCCCCGCGCCCGGGTCGGGACCATGGAGGCCGGGCTGCTGTGGTTCTGCAACTGGAGCACGCTGGGCGTGTGCGCCGCGCTCAAGCTGCCGCAGATTTATGCCCAGCTGGCGGCGCGCAGCGCGCGGGGCATCAGCCTCCCGAGTTTACTTCTGGAGCTGGCTGGGTAAGGCCCGGGGCGGCCTAGAAGGACCTGGGAGCCCGGGAGAGCCTCGGCCTCATTAAGCAGGGCGTGGCGATCCTCGAGCTCCCAAGTTAGAGCCGGGCGGGAAAGGGTTAACTCGGGAGGCTTGGGCCTGGGAGGTGGTGCTTCCCAGGGCCTCCCCCACCCTCGTTCTTTGCTCCTCCCCAAGCCTGGTGAGCCCTGAATCCCTGAGAAACCGACCCAGCGGAATCAGTCCAGGTCCTTAGTGACAAATCCTGCGGGCCCTAAGCAAAGCCATTGACACCTCGAGCTCCCTAGACCCGTCCCACCCTTTTTCCGGCCTCGATCCCTCACCTGTAAGACTGAGGGGACTTTGATCTAAGTTACATGCTTTGGGGATCCAGACAATTGGGGTCTTTGGAGGGAGAAGAGGAGGGGAACGTTGAGTCCGCTTGAAAGGTGGGCCGAGGCCCACAGGCAGGGAGGGGCTGTGACGGCTGCAGGAGCGGGCTTATCCATCCCAAATCCAGAGGGGTGGCCCCGCCCCGGTAACTTAAACCTAAACCTGAAGAGCTGATTTGTGTAACTTTTGGTTGGAAAGACCGAATTGATGGAAAAACACCTCCCTGAAACGCGCGGTCTTGCTTCTTGTCCCTGTCCCGCTGAGTCCTCTCGCTTTGCTCGCCACTTACCCCGCTGTCACCCAGCTGATGGCTCCTGCACCCATCCTGAGGGGCTCGGCCCCGGGATCTACATCTGATGGGGGGGCGGGGAGACTTCAAGGCGAACCTTTCGGGAAAGGCTCCGCAGACCAGCGGTTCTGTTACCCTTACTGGCCTGTGAATGACCTATACTGGGACTCCCACGCTGGATGGTGGGTCTGGAGAGTGCGGAGGGGTCCCAGAGGGTGGGGGGCAGCTGTGCATTTCAGGTTGGAGGGGAGAGGCTGGCGGGATGAGGTTTAGGGCACAGGCAGGGGCAGAAAGTAGCCGCAGTGACTGCTCCAATGAGCTAGGGGATGAGGGCGTGGAAAGAGTGATTTGGTCTCGGTCTGTCTGTCTGTCTGTCTGTCTTTCTCCCTCTCTCTGCAGTATTGAAACTCAGGGCCTCACACTTGATAGGCAGACACTACCACTCTGCCAGCCCTTTTTTTGTGTTGGGTCTCCCGAACTATTTGCCCGGAACGGCATCAAACCACGATCCTCCAGATCTCTGCCTCTTGAGTAGCTTGGATTACAGGCTGAGACGCTGGCTCCCAGCTGGCCTTGGTTTCTTGCTAAACCCTCTAGGGCTGCAGAAACTGAGGGTGGATCCTGTGCAGGATGAATGGAAACATCTGAACCTGCTCAGCCTGCATTTCCACTATTGCTTTGCTTCACAAATGCAAACCCACTTAGGAGACAAAGAAGAGAGGGCTCATCTTAAGTCCAGTGGCTGCTATCACCATATCCAACAGCTTTCCTTAGCAAAAACCAACCTCGCAATGTACTGGTCTCTTAGGGTGGGAGGTGGGGGTAAGGTGGCGCATTTGTGCCTAAGTGTCCTGCCAGTTCATCACAGTTCAGATAAAGGCAGCTCTTTCCTGGGTCGCCCGCCTGCCTTTGAAATGGTGCCAGGGCCGGCTGTCCAGACGTTTATAAGTGGGCTTGGCTGAGTTAAGGCCCACCTCCCAACTCACCCTCTCCCTCAAGGCCAGGTGGAAACTATTTGGCTCCGCCACTAGATTCCAATAGCATTTTATCCCTGCCAGCAAACTATTACAATGGTTCTGGTTTTCTGAGCGCTTTCTGTGTATCCACATGCATTACCTATTTAATCCTCACAACAGCCTTAGGAGGTAAGCATTGTTTTCAGTCCCCAAAAGGCAGGAGAATAGGAACAGGCTGGTCATCTTGGCAGGGTGCTAGCTCTGACATTGGAGCTCTTCCCCCCACTCCGCCTACCCCCTTCCTTCTCAGTCTTCCCTGGGGTGGTGGGTGGGGACACGCTGCAGCCCTGCCTCCCTCCTGTGCCTTGGCCTGCCTGGCCCTGACCTGAAGGAGGCCCGAGGAAACCAAAGAGAGCAGGAAGACCCCAGGACCATCACCATTAGACAGCCCTTGATCCTCCAGGCTCAGAGAGAGAACAGTGGCCTGGAGGGCATTGGACCCTCTTAGACCCCATCTGAGCAAACTATCAACTGGAGTATGAACTGTCTTAATGAAACCAGAGATTGCTGGGAAAGCCCAGGAAGACCTAGATGGCACCCAGGGCTAGAAGCACCTGGATATTATTAAAGGTGCATGGAGGTGGCCATGCGGACCAAGGGACTGGGACAGAGGGGGCTTCAGATCAGAACCCTGGGAGGCTAAGACTTAAAACCCTGCCTCATGCATGTGCATGTGCACAGCCCAGTGAGAGGGCATAGGCTCTTCCCATTTTATAGCTGGGGACACCAAGGCTGGGAGTGTTCAGGAGCTGGTACCAGGGACTCTTAACTCCAGAGTTGGCTCTGAACCCTTCTGCTCCACTTAGGCCTCCTTGTTCTTGAGCTTTGCTTCAGGGTCACAGGGTAACAGGGTGGAGCTCTGTAAGTCCTAAGAAGGTGGCTCCAAGATTTGGTGGCAACTTGATGCCACATGTGAGAATGGGAGCTGGCTGGGACCCCAGGGACCCCAGGAGGGACCACTGTGAGGTATCTGCTATCATTTTTACCCAGAAGAGTAAGATTTCTTTGGAAAAATCAAAGATTTGATGCTGGCTTCTCCTTCCCCTAGGGTTACCCCCTGTACCCATGTGGGTGTGAGTGTTGTTTGCTTAAACCTCCAGCATAGGTATTGAAGTAGAAAATCCAAATGACTTCCTCTGAGCAGACCTGATATAAACAACCTAGGAGGCTGGCTGGCAGATGCCTGTCTGGCTTGATTTTATTATAATGAGTATGTTAGCTATTACACCTTAAAGAAGCATTTAAGAAGATAAAGAGAAGACACAGCCACACTTTCCTGTTGCCCATAGAGAGTTTGGGCTCCCTGAAAGCATAACTGCCACTCCCCCAACTAGAAGGCCACCCTGTAAGTATAGGACCAGGTGCATGCCAGTTGGTGTCAGGAAATGCTGGCTTTCCATCTTGTTCCTGAGTTCTTTCCTGACCTTGACTTTGGGCCTCAGTTTCCCCAAGTGGTCTGTAAGAAGTAGAGGCCAGTATAGATGACCTATGAAGGTATGCAAAGTGCTAACAGTCCAGGGTTCTCAGCCCTGTCCTGTGGGTTTCTGGCTGTATTTTACCAGGAGGTCTACACACGGTTCAACGCACACATGTGTGGTAAAGACGCCATGGCCTTTGTTCTCAAATATTCCTTCAGCAGGGCCTGCTCAGTGGAAACCTCCCCTCCTCTATCCCCCTGGGATCTCACAGGTGAAGAGAAAGGGGCCACTCTGCAATCAGGCAGGACAGACAGTGTCCCTGAAGCTGGGACAAGGCCAACTGTAAAGCCCACAGAGAGCATGTGTGCAGCCAGGCCATGAGGCCCCTGACCTCCTGGGCTCAGGCCTGGGGGAGACCTACCTGCACAGGCTGACACTGGTTACTGGCTTCCATCCTGTGACCCTGTCCCACCCAATCTCCGAAGTGGAGAAACAAGATAAAAGGTACAACCTCCCCAGCCCCCATCTCCTCTGTCCGGGGTTTCTACTGTCCTTGCCTAGCTTAGGGAATGTAGATTCCGTGGGAAGCACTGGGCCTCTGATGTGGCTTCTGGGCTCGGCTCCCCTTCCTTCCTGTCTCCTGTGAACTTGTGGGCTTGGAGGACACACAGCTGGGCACTGGGACAGACAGCCTGAGGGTAGCAGGGCATTTGGGTCTGAGGGAGGAGGCTCCAGCAGGCTGAGCCTTTGCTCCTGCGGTCTTCAGCCCCACCTCCACCCCTGCCTCTCACACAGCTAGAACTTTCTCAGAGGATCTGAAGTACTTCACGTCTTTACATCCTCCATGGGGTAGCACTTCCAGAAGGCAACATGGAAATCTAAGTAGTGTCCTTCCAGCTCCCTCCGGCCTTCCAGAAGGCCCCACCCAGGGACATTCCCAGCTCTCTTAGGCCCTTTTCTGCCTATGCAGCCTCTCAGGGTGACAGCAATGCGTGTGACCTTCTGAGAGGCAACTCCAGGGCTTTGCACACTAGAAGACCTAGGTCCAGGAGTCTGGTCTCCTGTGCTTCTGGTTAGCACTTTGCCTTCTCTGAACGTCCTTCGTAAATGACCGTCTTAAGAGGCCGGATGGTGACCATGTGTCACACTCCAGTCCAGCGCTCAGCAAGTGCTGGATGTTATGGTTAACTTGACTTTCCAGACCTTTTGCTTTGAAATCTTCCTCCTCAGTACTATGGTTCCACACTGCCAGCTGTAGGATTTGGCATATGTGCCTGTGTTTGGGGCCTGGCTGGGTGGCGGTTAGGCTGTGTGTGAATGTGTGTACTTCCTCTCCCCAGATTCCTGGTCTTCCTCCGCTATCAGTGTTACTATGGGAACCCGCTGCTCACCTACCTGGAGTACCCCATCCTCATCGCGCAAGGTAATGGGCCCTTTGGTCCCCAGTCTGCCTTCGAGGCTTCCCTTCCTCCTCTCACAAGCCTTTCCTTTCAGATGTCATCCTCCTGCTCTTCGTCTTTCATTTTAACGGGAACGTGAAGCAGGCCGCACCTTACCTGGCAGTGTATCCTTTCAGCATCCGAGAATGCAAATGGACTTGGAGGAGCTGGGTGGGGCTCAGTGGGAGAGCATGGGCCTGGCCCTGGACTCTAGCCCCAGGTCCGGAAAAAAGAATAAAAAGGGATTGCAGGTATTGCTTGCTAATAATATGCAATATGAAGCAAGTCCTTTGCCAGATAAATCATTCTGGTTAAACTAGATCCCAAATGCAAGCCTATCTATACAGACTTCAGTCCCCTGACAGGGCACCTTTGTTGTGCGCAGAGGCCAAGTAGGATGTAGACTTGATTAGGTTACTGCTGAGCAAGGTCAAGTACAGAATCAGCGCCCCCTCTAAGAGCAACATCTACCTTTATTCCTTTCCTGAATATGTCCCCAGGGTCTTAATAGTCATGAGAATACCTGGGATTGAGCATGGTGCCACCAGCACATCTGGCTGACTGGCTTGCTGGCTGCCTGTGGGCAGGTGGATGGGGACCATGATGGTGGTTCTCAGCACAAGCCACATTTCTGATCAGGACAGTAGTTTGCAGGCCGAGCCTTGAAGTGCGAGTGTTGTCAAGGTCAGGAGGTTCACGGTGCAGCCTGGCCGGCTCACATACTCCTCCTTTTAGTGCCATCTTGTATGAGCGAGGCCAGCTGCATTCCAGGCCTCTTTGTAAAGACTTGTTGCTCTCTTGAACTCACACCCCTTAAAAGGCCAGGAGAGCCACTGAGTGCCTGTGGCAGTCTGCTCATCCTGCCACTTCTGTGAAATGGCCCTACACCCTCTTCAAGGGGATGGACAGAGACATTTGGGTGAGTGCTGACCTGCTGCTGTCTCACGGAGTTACCCGCGCCCCTGGCTCCGTTCCTTCTGCAGTAAGTGGGAAGGCACAGCTGTGTACTCTGTGCTGAGGTTAGTCCCATCTGGTGAAAGGGTTTGCAAAACATGCCAAGGTCATAGATTAGAAAACTTGAGTACTAATGGCACTGGTAAATTATTTGTGGAACCATACGCTGATGGCAAGGCTGGGGTATCCATAGACATTTATAACCTCTGATGGTTGTGACCTACAGAAACCAAAATAAGGAGGGTTGTCATATTAACAATGGATTTTTTTTTTTTTAGTATAAGTGGCAAGGGGTGTACTAACAGTAAAAAAAATACTTGTTGATATGAAATCCATTTTAACTGAGTGTCCTGTATTTTTATTTGGGAAATCAGGCAAGCCTACAGATGAGTTATCTCTAGGCTGTTAGTAGTTTCTACTACTGGTCACATTTTACTGGTTTATTTATTCTTTGGAATACATAGAAAGAAGTGGGATAGTACAGAATTAGGGAAAAGGGAGTATCCAAAAAGCAGAATGTTGTCCAGCTGCATCCAGGCTGCTTTTTGGCATGGACCAAGCTGCTAGAATTCAGCCCTACTGACTTTCAGCACAAGCACTATCTAGTCCAATCCCTTCATTTAGTTAATGTGATTAATTATAATAACAGCAAACGCTTGGGTCTCTCCTGTGTGCTGATAGCATTTAGGAGTAGCTAGGGTAGGGAATGATATGTCCATTGTACAGAAAAGCAAAGCAAGGTAGGAAGGTAGAAACTGCAGGGCCTCCTGGTCTCCCTCCTGCCCTGGCAGTGGCTCTAGTGGCTCTTGTTGCTTCCTTCAGCTGCTCTGGCTGGGCTCATGCACACACCAGAATGAAAACCCAGTATCATTCCTGCCCCAGCCAGTTCATTTTTACAGTGGAGTTAGTGGGAAAGGGGGAGGGAAACCGATTAGAGGTCCATGCTGCGTGAGCTTTGCAGAATATTTCTACTTTGTAAGGTTGAACCTCTCTTGTAAGTGCTTAACTTGTGACAGTGGATTAGAGTCACTGTGTGGACAGGCGGTTACACTGTCAGGGTACTCCCAGTCCCTGGGAGCAGTCTACAAACACACACAGGTATCTGTGCTTTTGTAAACTGGTTCTGCCCTTTTGAACTCTGAGCAGGTGTTCACTTGGGACCCCTTTTGTCTTCTCCAAACTGGACAAGTTCTAGTCCACCTGCTGCCTGCTCCACCATTGGGTTATCTGACAACCTCTGGGGTCTGGGTTTGTCTGCCCCAGACAAGATGGAGTGGAACTGCCAGTGACTCACTGCCTTTTCCCTTAGCACTTGGTTAAGATTTGTGTCTTCTTGGTTCATCCTCAGCCTGCAGAAGTGGATTATCGACCTGGCCATGGTGAGTGACGCCCCTTGTAAGGCAGGCGTAAGAAACCACAAGCACCTTCTCTCCCCTCCCCACATCCCTGCCCCAGAGAGAGCTTTCAAGAACAGATTCCACGTGCTGTGTTCAGCTGCACCAAGGGATGAGGAGGCTAAAAGTGTAGTGCTAGCCACATAGTAAAAGACATTATTCTTATGTAAGTGTGGTAAAAAATTTTTCCTTGCTTCTTAGGGGGACAGGGAGAACCAGTTTGGAGTGGTTAATAATTGCAGTTTATGAGTGTGGAGCCAATATGTAACCATTGGCCTAATAAAATACTTGTGGGTTAAAAACTGTGTCAAAGAACTTACTAGGTTCATGACTCTATATTGGCAAGATACTCATCTTTTTCTCACTTTGCCCCCCAAAACAATGAGGCAAGGGGCTTACTTTTTTCTTGTTTGGTTCAAGGCTAAAAATTTCTGTGGGAAATTTGTGTCAGTTCACATTGGAGCCACACTGTTTTCCAGTATGACAGAGTGAACATTACCTGACCAGAGGGAGGAGAACTCATTGATGGCCACAGGTCACTGCAACACTCAAATTTATAGGTTTCCATCCTCTCCCCCAACATTGCATCTGTGACCCTTTCTTGGAAAGTCTGCCTGATACTCTGTTTGCTTCTGTCTTGAGACTTGCAGAAGGCAAATAAGTAGGGCTGCTGTATTAACAACAAGTACTTTTTTTAGTACATTTATGTCCATATTTGCATAGGATATACTTTTAATAATTAGCCTTGGTCTGAGATTGACTTTTTTATTTGCTAAATTGGCTCTCCTGCTGCGGAGTCTCCTCTGGGGTGCGGCTAGTGCACTCTGACCACATTGGTGTGGTTCTGGCATCGTTTGGGGCTGATGAGTCTGCACTGCAGCTGTGAGCCTGCAAGAAGCACAGCATGCTGGGAATTTGGTGGTCCAGGCGTTAGGTATCAGGTCCAAATGTCAAAGGCTATAGTTTGTGGTGTTTCTTCTTTTATTTCTTAAAAGATAGCTTATATCTTCGCCTTTCACCCATGATCCCTCCTTCAGTCCTTCATCAAGCAGTCTCCTTGCACTTGCTCCCTCGTGGGCACCAGGACCTGGGGCTAACGTGGGTCCTGGAGACACAGTGCAGGAGAGTGAGTGGGGTTTCAGAGCATGCACTCTTTCCTGGAAAACTCCTGGAGGAGAGGGGACTTAGTGGAAAACCCAAGCTAATAGCCAATAATTTTATTGCCTTCAAAACGCAAGTACCAATTTACAAAGCAAGCGCTCTCAAAGCAGGCTCTGTACCACTTGAGCCATGCCTGCCGTTGCAAGTACCAATTTAGGTCAACGGCTGGTTTGCACACTGGGTACCACACTCATCACTTCCTCACACAAAGATGAGGAAAGCACTTAGAAGTGATCCAGAAACAGCCAGCGCATTCCTGCTTCTTTCCAGTCCTAGCGCTGTGTTAGACATCTGTCGGAAAGAAGATGCTCTCCTGTTGAGTACGTGTGGTAAGACTGACCATGCAGCAAGACTGGTCACGGCCCAGTCCAAAGCCACTTCCTGATTTACAAGACGGCTTTCTCTGAAAGATGAACCTGGTAGAATATGTAGCAGGCAAGTTTCTGTAGAGCATATCCATGGGGCATGGCTGTCTCCTGACATGTGAGCAAAGCCCACTTCCCCGGTCTCTCCCAGTGTGACCGTTGTCTCTGCACAAGCCTGATTACCACCTTGCTCGATGTGCAGCATAATTCTTTGTTGTCTAGTTAACCTCCTCTCTCCGCCCAAAGCATCCTGGGTGTCCTTTGCCAACACGCTGCTAAGCAGCAGTATTGTTAGGATCTGCTCATTCCACAAGGATTTACTGAGAACTGCCAAGTGACCACACCACTGCAGAGCAAGCGTGGCTGTCCTGGGAAGCAGAGGACAAGCCAGGGCCGGTGACTTTCACTCATGCTGAGGGCAGCAGTCAGCTCCCACTTTCATCTCTGCAGCCTTTGACTCAGTACATCAAGATTCCTTCTTCAGTCAGTTGTTCACTGACTGATCCTTTCCCACGTCCTTCCTGGTCCCTCCTTATCCTCCTGACTTCTTTAACATCAGAGGCCCAGGGCTCCAGCACACACCACATGTGTCTGCCCAACGATGCCACAACCATGCCTGTGGCTCGCCAGCCTCACTTTGACCTGCTGTCCTGCCCCATGCCAGCACTCCTGCTACTCCTGTAGCTTATGGTCTCTGTTAATGGCACCTCCAGTGAAGACCAGAGTGTGGGAGCTTGGAGATATCCTGGGCTTCCCTTCCTCTTACATCTCGCTGTGGACCCTGGCAACCTGGCCTTAGAACCTCTGTGGACCCTACCCATGTGTCGCCATTCTGCCACCACCATCTCAGTTCACCTGGGGAGACTTAGGTGGCCTTCTGCCTGATCTCTGGCCTTCCACCTGCCTCCACTTTCCCTGGGATTGCAGCTGCTGCTGCCCAGTCTGGGTTTGCTGGGTGCAGGCTAATTTGCAGGCCCTTACTGCACAGGCACCAGAGGACCCAAGAGCACCACCGTGTGGGCTTGTGGTTAGAGTAGCCAGAGACTCGAGGCTGGCTCGCCACCACTGGCTGCTTTCAGTTTAGGAATTTGTCAGTTAACAGCTTCATGGCTTTCCCATGTAACACACATGTCTCATTCTGGGAAGGGACTGAGGGGCTGTGGATAGGTGGGACTGGGAGACAGTCTGGGTGTAGTGACACTTCTCTCAATGTGAAACTAGCTCCAGCCCATTAGTTACCCACCCCATGGGGTGCAGGAGTGGCCCGTGGGTTATAAAGAAACATCTCACTCTCATTCGTTCCCACCAAACTTAGATTTTAGTCTTGTGCAAATTGGGTATCACTTTATCCGGAATTTTGTTTAAAAAGCACTGTATTTGTTGTGCTTTTTTTTTTAACAAATTGGCTCCCTCCTGACTGTCTTACTTTATCCTTCACAGAACTTGTGCACGTTCATCAGTGCAGCCAGCAAATTTGCTCAGCTCCAGTATCTGTGGAAGGCACAAGACTCAGGAGCTGTGAGCGCGCTGACCTGGGGCCTCTCTGCCTACACCTGTGCCAGTAAGCGCACCTCGCCTGGGATGGGGGGACCTTTGTGAACATTGTTGTCCCCTGAAATCAGTTAGCTTAGTGTCCGAGTGGCATCATCCCTTGAGTTTTACACTCTGCAAGTAACCAGTCGACTGGAGCTTGCCATGGCACAGTCTGTATTTTCAAGGTGGGTTCCTTCAGCGCAGACTGCTCCATTTTCTGTATTCCAGTTGCAAGAAAAAAAGTTGAAAACTCTTTTCTCCAGATATCTGGCCTAATACTAACAGCTCTTTCTTCTCTAGAAGCTTCAGGAAGTTGATTATATTTTACTCCAGCAGTTTATTTTAAAAGTTTGAGTCCTTAAGAGGAGCCAGGTTAAAAAGATGAAAATCATACAGTAGCTTCTGAGGATATATGGTAATTTGTATCTGAATGCCTGTGGTTTGGCCTTGACTTTACAGTTTCTACTGTTCTTTTGCATTCTTGTAAGTACTACCTAAAACACATACATGCCACATGTAAGCAGAAATATTTTCTATTTCAGAACTGTCACATTCATTGGCTTTACTAATTTTGGATATCAGAATTATATTCATAGTTCTTCTGCAAATTATAGGACAAGTTTCTACATCCAGGTTGCTATTATTATTTTTTTTTAATGTTGAAAATTACTTAAGTCTTCTTGAATTTTTTTTTTAGCTTTAAAATGTTGAAGTGCTGTTGTGTTACACACACACACAAATTTCTTTGGGATTCCTAATTAGATATACCAGCTCCCAAATTTATCTTTAGGTATTTGAGATGCAAGCGCTCTGCCTCTTGAGCCATGCCTCCAGTCCATTTTGCTGTGGTTATTTTGGAGGTGGGGGTCTCAAAAACTGTTTGCCTGGGCTAACCTCAAACCATGATCCTCAGCCTCCTAAGTAGCTAGGATTACAGGCGTGACCACTGGAGCCTGGTTTCATGGCAATCTATCTTGCATTGCACTCTGCTTAACAAGTACTTAAGAATTTGCTGAATAAATGAAAAATGAACTAAGGACTACATATGTATGCATATATATTTGTTTTTGTTTTGTGGTGCTAGGGATTGAATCTGGGATCTTGCATATGCTAGGCAAGTCTCTATTTCTGAGCCACAACCTCACCCCTGGATTTTATAGACAAAAAAAAAAAAAGAACAGTTCAAATCCAATATCCCCTTTTTATAGATGAGGCTAACAACTTTAACATCACTTTAGAAATGAATGGAATGTGCACTTTTAGCATTTAGCCTAGAATATAGTTTCTTTTTTTTTGAGACAGGCTGGCCTCGAACTTGCCACCTTTCCTGTTTCATCCTCCTGACTGCTGGGATTTTGTAATCCAGCCACCATGCTTGAGTTTCTTTGCCCAAGTTTAAATTGGGTTGTTTCCTTACTATTGAGTATTGAGAGTTCCTTCTATATTTTGGATATTAATCTCTTATCTGGTGTATCCTTACTGAAAGTCAAGAGTTTGCTTGGTCACTTTCCTAACTGGAAGGAGACTTCTCTCCAACTATGTAAGGTCCATTTCTTCCATTTAAGTTGCTGTCTTAAGTAACAGCTGTTTATATAGTGTCCCTATGTAAAGTATCAGATAATCAAATTTGGCAACAAAAAATTTCTAGATTTTGGTCTCTGCCCTTCCAGGCTTACAGTTTAGTTGGATGACAAGACCAAAAAACTAGTATGTCAACATATGGAAAATACAAATCGGGGTAGGCAGAGGGGGCCTGCCTGCCAGTTTTGGGGTGAGGAGTGGCGTGCCTTGAGTTGCAGGCAGTGGTACTCTCTAACCCATCCCCATTCTGCCAAGTGTTGCTTACTGTTACATTCCTAACTGCTGGCTGTGTAACATTTGCAGTTAAACCCTTAGGAAAACTTTATCCTTCTCGTTTCCTTACCTGTGAAATATAGAATTTGGTGCTCTAAAAAGCTTTCAGTTGGTGAAGAGCCTTTCTTAAGCTTGATTTCCAAAGTTGCTTTTCGATGGTGGGCACAGGTAGTGGAAGGGAGCCCAGCCTTCTCCCCAGCATGGATGAATGCAGAGGACATTAAATGAAAGTAAGCCAGGTCCAGGAAGACAAGTATCACCTGTCATTCATATGTAGCATCTAAAAACAGCGAACTCTTATGTGGAGAGAGTAGAATGGTGGTCACCAGGGACACGCGAGAGGTGTAGAAGGGAGGGGAGTTAGGGACAGGAGTGGCAACCGTCTAGAAAATGGCTCTGCTCTTGGGAGCAGGTTCTAAGCAACCTGGCCAGGATGCATGGGTGGTCTTCGGGTGGTAATGAAATAAGAGTGCTATTTAGTGTTCTGTCCCACCACAATCTTTCAAGAAGTTAGTAAAGGGGAAAGACCTTAGCTAAATACCAAAGTATCTGAGACACAAGTTACTTATTGCTAAAAATTTTCTTTTACAGCAAGAATAATAACCACCTTAATGACTACCAATGACTTTACAAGTAAGCAAGAATACTTTTCTTCCAGCTTCCTGTTTTGTGTTCTATGTGACTTGTGCCTCCTTTATGTGAAACCTGTTTGAGGATTTAATAGAGCCACTTGGCACTAGTAAGTCAAGGCTTAGATGGTAAGGACATGTTCCTAGTCTTCAGCAGACACCCTCTTAATTAAGTCTCTAATTCTAGCACTGCCCGGGGTAGAGAGTGCGTGAGAGCAATTCTCATCTTCCTAGACTTTCTACTTCAGCAGTGAAAACGGACCATGACGGAATTGCACAGTTAACCCAGCTAACTTACGTTGTGAAATATTTTCAAAGAGTAGGGCAGCCAGGTTCAGTGGCACACACCTGTAGTCCAGCTCCTGGAGAGGCTGAGGCAGGAGCCAGGGCCAGCCTTACATTGTAGTAAGACCCATTTGCAAAACCACAAAATGACAAAAAAAAAAAAGTAGGGTGAGTTGGATGAGCACCAGAGAGGAGCCTGACTGATCTATGGGAGCTGGGGACATCCGTTTAAAGGGTGAGCTCTTAGCGGTAAAGGTGAAGAGATGTGACCAAGGAGCAGCACATGGCTGGAGCTGTGGAGAGAGGGGGTGGGGGTGGGGGGCTGGGGTGTGTGTGCAGAGCTGGGGAACCGGGAGTTTAAGGCGAGGAGAGGAGGGAGGGGAGCAGAGCACTGACAGGAAGAGCTGCAGAAGCGGCCACAGCCGTGAGGAGGCCTAGGGCTTTTGAAAGTTGGAGGCACCATCTTTTCAACAAGTGTTTGCGTTCTGCTTTTGTTTGGTTTTTACTAGAAGAGGCTGAGATGGAGGAGAAAGTACGTTGGTTAACCAAAAGACAGTGTGACAGTCCCTTAGGCTGTCTTCAACTCCCCAGTTGAGCAGACTCTATAAGTAATCTTTGGAAACTGATTAGACGGTTCTGATCACTTACTCAACAAAGACTAGAAAACGTCCCCAGCACAAAGACCTTTTCCGTAATTACTGAGAAACATCTGCTTCAGGACAGTGACGCTGACCCTGCCCAGACGTTGTACCAGTGATCATACTTACTTGTGATCAGCTCTGACTGTGGATCTGGATTTGTTCTGATCAAAGTGAGGTGGGGATGAGGAAGGAGATGAGACTTCTCAGCAGGGAGAGGAGAGTCAAACCATAACCAACAGCAGCCGAAAAATTAGGCTCAAAAGACCAAGTGTGTTCTAATCTGACTGTTTTTCCCTGACTGCTGTCTGAAAGTGACCAGTGCATCTGGGGATAAGCTTTTGGGAGCAGTGAAGCTAATTGTTACATGTATTTCACCGTCACAAAGATACCTTGAATTTCACATACCTTCTTAGGAGAATGTGCTGCTGAAAGTGGAATTTAAGTCACTGTTACACTGAGTCACATTTTCAGTTACTTCATTATAAAATATGCTTTGGCATTTGGATTTTTTTTTTTTTTTTGAGATGAGATGGAGGCTGGCCTTGAACTCTTCTCAAGTGATTCTTTTGGCTTAGCCTCCCTTGTGGCTAGGACTACAGGCATGTACCACTGCGCCTGGCTAGAATTATCTCGGTAGTGCTTTATACCACAGCTGGCTTGTTCTGACCTCAGCATGCTTGAGACCTCACAGGAAGTGAAGGGATTCTGGCAGGTTGCAGGACGTCTTAGCCACATTACTTACCCATTAAAGGTGATAACCTGATTGCTCGAGACGTCAGGCCAAGCGCCCAAGGTAGACATTGTGACAAAAGATCATTTCTTGATCTTTGGAGCAATACTTGTAGTCAGCATTGTTCTAAGTCTCATGATGGGGGCTGAGGGTAAAGCGCCATATAGACTTGTACTTAGAGCAGATTTTTCTCTGTCTAAAGTTTTTAATGCCCAAATTTTCTTTCTAATTTTAGTTCTTACACGTTTTGTGATCATGCTGGCTTTAAATATATGGGTAACAGCTACTGTTCTTCGCTATCGGAAACCTGCCATCAAGGCTGAGTGATGGATAGATCACCCCTCCACACAAAGCGTACTTCACGTGACTGAACCAAAGAAAAAGCAGTTCATCACTACACTGAAGTCCTTTATAAGTTTAGTCAATCGTTTCAGAAACTTCGAAGCCAAGGGTTTAGACTTGAAAGTCACTTAGCTAGGCATGGTGGTCCATGCCTGTAATCCCAGCACTCAGGAGGCTGAGGCAGCAGGAACTAGACCCTGGGGAGGGAGGGTAGGGGCTAGGAATAAATAAATAAAAAGAATCACTTGAACAGTTGTTTAAAAATGCTAATTCCCTTCCTTCAACTCTCCTTTCCCTTAGGTCTTGGTAGGATTCAGGCATCTGTAGTGTTCTCTTCCTTCCCTACCCACCCCCGACTCCCCGCCTTTTTGGAGACAGGGTCTCACTGTATTGCCCAGGTTGGCCTCCAACTTGCAATCCTTCGGTCTCAGTCTCCAGATGACAGGCAGGGCCAGCAGGCCCAGCAGGCCCAGCTAGACATCCACAATGTTGACACTGTTGTGACAGATGGAAGTTAGTAACGATCACTGACCATTAAAGTCTACAGACTAAGTTCTCTCTGAAGAGCCAACTATGTATTTTAGCTTTCAGAATCTTTTAATAAATAAATCACATAACAACAATGAACATAGATGGAGTGGGACTTTGCACAGTCAGGAGTAGAACTGTAGTAAATTAGTAGGGTTCATTGTCTGGGACTGTTAAATTGTAACGTGGCCTTGTTGTGTCCTAAAATGGTGTAATGCCTGTCCATGCCAAATGGGTATCGCAGCAGGTCTGTATACTGAAGTCGTCCTGTAACTTCTCACTGTGCCGTACGTAATCCCAAACCTAAGGTATTTTTAGCTCCAATCTCTATTTAGGATGAGGAATCCCAACGAACTTTCTGATTCAAGCACAATGCTGCCATCTAACAAGGGCTACACCTACCTGTACAGCTGCCACTGCTAGAATTGAATATAAAACACCTGGTTTTAGCTACTGAAAATTATGCAGGAGAGAATCCTAAACCGACGTTAAGATTATTGTGCACTATATTTTCCTCTATAACTTTATAAACCCTAACATTTAAAAACTCATTTTCCTCTTCTAAGTGAATGCTATCAATTTTGTTATGCAGTAAATAAATGATGTTTTCTGGAAAATGTTTAATTTCCTATATAAAATAAACTTTGGCATTTCAAACTCTGCCGAGTTTTAAGGCGGTCAACCATTTCAAGTTAGGTAAGGCACTATTTTTCAATAAGCCAGTTAATTCTTTTTAGAACCGTGCCTGAGACCAGCAAGAGAAACGCAGCATGGAAACATAAATCTTCATTATGTGGTTATTTCAACTACAGTTGTCAGTAAAAATCCAAGTTAATCTTTTCTCGTATGAATTTATTATAATCTGACCATTAGTATAAATACAAATTATGTGATTTTTATCCCAAATATTTTTTATATATTTATCTCACTACTTAAATCAACTCCTGTGAGACCTACCCTAGGTGAAGCATTCATTTTTTTCCCCTTCGGGAGGGAACAAAACACTTGAGTTATTCCAAGTATTTCACGTACATTACCATATTTAATCTTGCAATGCTCCTGTACAGCAGACACAGTGCCCACCTTATAATGGAAACACTAGGCACAGTGAAAACCCTGCCCAGGACCGGCAAGCTAGCTGTGTCCCATGAAAGAATCCAGTGATCCCCAGAGAAACTTTCTAGAAAACTGCCCATCAGCACACTGTAGACAAAGCAGGCCTCCTGCCTCCTCTCCCCTCACCACTGGAACAAAATGGTTAGCCTTGTATGTCCCTTAAACATCCAAATCAAATCTTTGTTCTTCATAAACTAAAATAGGAGGCAGAAAAATCACAAGTCTATGGTGTCAACTAAGATGGCGGCCATCCTGTCTTTAAACATCTTTTAGGAAGACCTTTCTGTGAACTTTAGAAGGCTGCAACATTCCAAGAGCATTTCACAGGAAAAGTATGAAAATGCTTACATCTTAATTTCTTTTATTTATTTTTTATAAAAAGCAGGCATAAAATACAATTACAGTACTACAAAGATGCAACAGAATTAAAAATCAAGGGGTTATGATTTCTGTCCAGGGGACAGCTGATCAAAATATTTATGATTATCTAAACCATGCACTTCATAACTTATTACAACTCCAAACAAAAGTCATTACAGGGAAGGGATCAAGGCGAGGCCCCTGGGCATGACACCCAGCACTGTCACACAGCGCTCTTCTTCAAAGTGCTTTGCAGCCAGCTGCGGCCCCTCCACCAGCCTCGGAAGCTGAAGCCACCTCCAGGCTAGAAAGTGAGTCAGTAGCAGTGTCAACAGGGACTGAGAGACTCAGAAAGGACGTGCTGTAATTGGGATTTAGAAGTGTTACTTAAAGCATTCTCCGTACAGGTACTATAGTGCCTGAGTTTCTCTTTTACCCCCAGAACCCTATAAGAAAAGATGAACAGCAGCAGCAGAACTTCTCACGTTGTGGTTTGGCAACTGAATGTTTCTCACTCAGGATCTACAAATGAACTGATGCAAAGCCAGAGGACTCAGCCTGATCCATGTAGCTCTGGCATGTGTTAGTTTTGAAACAGTAACCTCTTTTTAGGTTTACCAGCATATTTTTCCATTTGTCAGTTAGAGAATTTTAAATTTTCAGATAGATTTTTAAAAACCTTGCTTCTAAGATAGTTTTTAAAAAGTTAATACTTAAAAAAAATTCATTACACATTTCAACAGTAATACCGGCACTAGTTTTCCTTTTACTTCTGTCTTGCTATCCCAAGACAAAAGTAAAAAATCCAACGAAGACAATCCCAGTATCCACTTATTTCTTAGCTCCCAACTGGAGGTATTTATGGCTCTAGAAGAAATCAAGTGTGAAGAAATGAGCAACATTTGGTCTCAGAAGTTTTGGGGTCTCAAGAAAAAGCGAAACTGGCACAAAATGAGGTGGGTTTGTAGTTGGGAACAAAACACGTGGACATGAAGGCGGCAGTGGGGAAGGCAAATTCCTACCCAAGCTCAGGGTTTCTCATAAGCTCATTTCTGTTGTTGGACAGCAACCTTACAATCCTTGTGTCAAACCACACGATGTGAAGATCTCCATGGGAGAGAGTGTTTTCACCATAAGAATACCTTTTGTCCCCTAAATGCTTCACATTCATTTTTGTGTACAGGTGCATCACACCGTGACTCTCCTTGTTCTCTAATATACACAGCACTCAAAATTTAGACTTCTGCCTCTTTTACTCAAATACTTCAATTATTCATGTGTAAACCTGACATTATTTTACCTTAATAAAGTTTATTAAAAATATATATACTCTCCAATTCAGAATAATAGGATAGAACCTCCCATAGTGTAACAAAATCTTTATATAAAATATTAATTCAGTCTCCTTTTTAACAACTCTAATGAATGGAAATATTTCTTCTATATAAATTTTATATATTTTTCATTTTTCATTTTACTTTAAAAGAAAGGAAAGAAGGGAGGGAGGGAGGAAGTGCCCCAGACCAGAGGTACAGAGCACACACAGACAGCATGAATGATGCAGACTGGGTAATTACGAATCACAGAATTCAGCTTCAGTACTTCAGTAGGCCAAAGGCTACTCTTTCAATTCCCACAATAATATCTGTAATGAGGATCAAACTCTTTAAACATCTCTACACTGATTCTAGAGGAAAGCAATGGAAATGGTCTCCTTCCTTCATTGAAATATTAGGTGAATATTTCAACGTCACACTGCACTCTGTGTATGTATATAAAGAGAGACTGATAAAAGAGTACATAATTAAAAAAAAAAAACTTGATGCTTCCCATTGCTGCATACTGTTGCGGTAATAGCGTACTTATCTGGGCAAATGAGAAATACAGCAGGAATGGTCCTACATGAATACTAACTGTGACAGCATTTTAAAAATAAAAATCAAATTAAGTGCCCTTGAAGCAACTTCTCAGTTATTAGTTTTCTTAATCCAATACTAAAGTATTGCCATACATAGCTGTGTGTTTCGGGATCATTTAAATATTTAAAATATATCTACGGTATATTTTAGTTTTCTTTATATTTGAGATAATTTTTGAAAGAGTGTGAAAATGTAAAAATAGTCACAAATGTCTTCACCAGAAATAAAAACACATCTAGGGTATCGAGCATATTCAAAACAAAGCAAATGTTTTGTAGTCACAGACCAAGACTGAGGTCTGTCAAAGGGATAGGTGGATCATAGATATTTATCAAAGACACATTAGTTCCAATTCTATCCATTATCGTTGCTATGACCAATACATTAAAAATTTGTTATACAATCAAAATAGACTGACAATGATATACCTATTATGTGTAAAAATAGTGCACTATTTTTCTTCCACAAAGCAAGTTTGTATCCTAATAGCTGGTAAACAGTTGGGTTTTTTTTTTCTTCCCTTAAATGCAGAAAAGGGTTGAGACTTTGAAAAAAATTAAATTAAGGCATTGAAAATGGGTAAAGTTGCATTAGGAAACTGATCTGATTAACTCAAAACTTCTTGTTACAGTAACTGCTTAAACATGGACATGCAGCTCCCATCAGTACATAAGGATGAGTGATATCAACTCCAACACTATGGCTTTATACAAGTGCATAGTTGCAACTGAAGTAATGATATCTGATTAATATGTGTAAAAAATAAAATGGTAAGTTTAAAAAACCCTCTTGCAGTACTACAGTACTATATGTGCATGTATATCTCCATATATGGATATATGTAGATATAAATAGACACACACAGTATCATGGTCGCTTCTTTAAGATGCAGTCAATGTCACTGTAGTGGAATCCATTCCCAGATTCTTCTGGTAAATGTGCTGGTGAATCCTCTGGTGAAGCTGAGAAGATGATTTCTTTAACTCTTCCTTCTGTGCAATGTAGTGTGAGGACTGCCAAGAGAGCATTAGGAAACAAGTTTGGAAGAGTTGCACATGATATCCTTACTTTACTAATCAATCACTGTTGGTTCAACTTGTTTCAAAGGAGCCCAGAAAACCTGCCCAAATATGTAATTTATATTACAGGAAAAAAGGAACATATATATGTATGTGTGCTATCAGTCTCTTGGTAAAATACAGTTTTTAAATAAACCTTGGGACATCATATTTCAGTCTTGTTTTAGCTGGAAGAATATGATCACCTTGAATGACTGCTTTCACAGAAGGCAGTTAGCTGGAAAAAAAAAAAGAAAGTCAGTTGATACAATGAAATGAGACTGTTGAATTCCTTGAAAAGGCATTTCATTCATATTATTAACCTATACTATTTTCTAATACATAAATCATGCATAAAATAATTCTATTACTTATTTTTAAGCACATGCAACTGTATGTTTTCTTAGTACAACAATGGACTATGGAAGTCCCGTACTGGCTATAAACATTCTGCACAAGTTTTAATGCAGTTAACAAGCTAGGGTTAAATGATATGCCACAGAATAACACATCTGAATGGAAGCTTGATTTAAGATTTAACTGCTAGCTGGCTCATGTAGCTGGAAAAAGTGGACTTATGGATCAGGTTCTACTGGGGTGTTTGACCCCAAGTTACATTTTCCTTATCTATGAAATAGGAAGAAACAGTTAATGTAGTAAATATATGTAAAGATACTCTGTGAAACCTAGATATAAACAGACCCCAACATTACATGATTTAAATATATGTTTTACAACATGCTTAATTAGTTTAAGACAAATTACTCCTTATAAATCTATTCTCTGTAAAAAGTTTAAAAGTCAGGAGGATCAGCTGTCCTCAATCTCCTTTAGTCAGTATTAACCAAATGATTTCACATTTTTCTAAAAGCACAGGAATTTTCACAGCATATCGTCAGCATTCTTCAGCAAGGGTGACAATAAATTCTTGCAAACACTTCACTGCATCACAAAGAAAGTCAAATCAGACACCACTACTTCACAGCATTTATCAGACGTAAAGCTTGTATGGCTAGAAAGAAAGAGGGGAGGAGAATGTGGACAGAGGAAGAAAGGAGCCCCATGCTATGTTCACAAACTAGTTCTAGGAACTTGAAAACATCTGAATACAGCTTTTTTGGAATGAATAGCAGGTACCAGAATTAGCAACTTGTTATTGCCACATGTTTAATTCCTAAAATAAAAACTTTAATTCCAACTATACCAAAACTTTATAGCCAGTAAAGAATCTGAACATAGCATTTCACTTTTATACTCGATATTGAAATTTTAGTTAGACACATTGCCGAAAACTAATATATACTATTAAAAACAACTTCACAGAATTTCAATAGTAGTCAAAATAATGAAAGCCCAAGTGCAAACCACATGCACTACATGGAAATACTAAAGTAACTTATTGTTCACTTTTGGATTTACCCATTTCTTCAGAAATCAAAAACATCGTCATCACCACCATCAACATCATCAAATGACCAATCCCAGTCTTTAAATGCCAAATCAAGCAATCTGTAATAGGAGGTTTGCAAATTTATACTTCAATACTTTATACAAACCACAGCTTTATGGCCTAGAAATCATACTTTGCGTGTGCTGTAAGCATTTTCAACATTTCCTTCAACAACATGGTAAAAATGAAGATGAAAGTGCCCAGGAAAACTTTCCTTTATCTGTAAATGTATGTTTATAATCATGTTGACCAGGTACAATTTCCAGCGTACCAGAGAACTGAAGACAGAGGTAATATTTGGTATAAGACACATCTGCTTTCTCCTTATCCTCACTGTCCAAATAAGGATGGAACGACCCTGACATTCAGTGTGAGAAGTATCAAAGTTCAACATTTCTTAACATTCCCTTTATGTAAATGCTTATATTATCAGCTCAGTTTTTCCAGAATAGCACCCTAAATCCTAGAAGAAAGGGGGAGTAATAGAATGGGAGCCAGCCTTCTCAATTCCAGCAGGGCCTACCTGGTGACTGGTCACCCACGGTATACCTAACGTGAAAACCTGGCACAAAGGAAAAGCACAGACATATAAACAGCACTGGCAATTTATCTTAGCTAAATAAACTGGACTTAAGAGTTGGGGTACACATGATCTTTTCTTTCCAATCTATAACCTATATTGTAACAATGGAATCATCTTCACTTTAAAGACTAGGAGTGACCTTTCATTATTTGTTTGGGGGTTTTGTTTATTTTTGCAGTGCTGGTCCTGTGCATGCTAGGTTAGCACTCTGCCACTGAGCTACATCCCCAGCCCCAGCCCAACCTGTCATTATTTATAATTGTGATGTTCATGCATCAACTTGTGTCAAGGAACTCATCTGGTCCCCAAAGTTCCATGTGTGATCACCATGCCAGTGGTTCTTAACTTTAATTTTCACAGTTTGCAAATGCTCTTCACAATGTATATTCCCACACCTCATCCTGGGATCTTGATATGATTATATTGAAGAGGGGAGGCTCAAATATTTGTATTTTTAAATAACCCGATCACCAGTTTGGAGATGGGGTCTTGTAAACTATTTGCCCAGGCTACCTTGAACCATGATCCTCCAGATCTCACTCTCTTAAGTAATTGGGATTACAGGAATGAGCCACTGGCACCCAGCTTAATTCTGGTTATTTCAGCCTAAAAATTTTTTATGCATTCAGGCTTCTTCTCTCTGTTTTCACCGTCAATACTCAGGTCAGGACCTCATTAAACCTGAACATACCAATCTCTCATTGAAACGTTTTTATGCTCCTTAACAAAGTGTACCTGGTTCTTTTTAGTACGGCTCCAAACTTCGTCTCCAGCGTTATGTCATCTTCTACCACTCACCATTGATTACCGTCACATTTTGCCGGGAGTTGTCTTTTCCCTTATTTGTTTGCCTAGAAAATTACTGATCCTCCATGTTGAGAATTTTTTTGATAGTCTCTGGCAGAATTCTCCATATTTTCCTTAACACTGTTCATGCCTCTGTGATAGGCAACATTTTAGAGTATGTTATTGTCTACTTGTCTGTCTCCTCCACCAATTGATCAATAAAGATATACTTTAGGCCATGAAACTTACTGTCAAAGAATGCTTCAAAAAGGTTACATTGAATTTTGAATTCTACCGACAGTAGAATGAGAGTGGACATTTCTTCTCACATCAGTACTAATTTTCTTAATCCTCGCCAGTTTGGCAGATGAAAAAATAGTTTGATATTACAGCTTTCATTTAGTTTCTTTGCTTAATCATTAGGTTGATGACTTTTTTTGTTTAACAGCTATTTCAATAGTAATGCCTGCTTGGTACCTTAGTAATTTTGTATTTCGATAAGGCACTCTGGGATTCTTTGTTCTCTTAATGAGAAAGCACTTCCATATCCCCAGTGCTAGAGACTGAAAGCAGCACCTCTTGGATGCTAGGCAAGAACTCTACCACTGAACTACATCCCCAGTCCCAAAAACGTTTTTCATTTTCCTCCTAAATATTGCAAATATATAGTGCTTAAAAAATTTTAAAGGCTTTTATTTTCAGGACAGTCTATCTTTGACTTTGTTTTCTTTCTCTGCTTATGTTCTTTGGAAGTTCTTCTCCAATCCAAGACTGGATTCATTCACTTATTTTCTTCTATTTCATTTATGGAGTTATTTTGGGTACTTTAAGTTCTATGTAGTGCCATTATTTTTCCAAAATACTTTGTTAACTAACATTTAGAAATGGAGAAGGACAAAGCCCGTAAGTTTTGACTACGTTGGTATGTACTGCTCCTTCAGACTGGGTGAGGCAATACTTGCATTACACTTTCCTGCATGACTTAAACATTATATTAAGAAAGATCTTCAGTAAAAATAATTAAACAGAAATGCCTTTTAGTCAAATTGGCATTGTGTGAATTGTACTAAAACAAATCGGGACCTCTTCAAATTGTCTTCATCAAAAGTTAGCACTTTATTTACAAATTTCCTCCCTATCAAGCATACTAATTTCATTTTCATTCAAAATCCTCAAACACTCCTTTATAATAGCATTTCTACATATTATGTTTATCTACTGTCAGCTAACTTCTGCTCACTTCACTGTGAAGCATTAGAGTATTATAGTTAAAAAAAAATGTAAGCTCTCAAACAAGACTATCTGGATCTAAACTCATGGCCCTGCCACCTACTACTACTGTATGACCTGGGTTTCTAAGCCTTAGTTTCCTCATCTGTTAAATGGAGATTATGAACAGCTACTTCACAGGGCAGTTCTGAGGATATGTAAATTGTTATAGGTAAAGGTCTCACAAGAGGGTCTGGCATATAATAAGTACTCAAAAACACTACTATGTAATAATAACAGCTAATATAGATCTATTACTTTAAATACTTCACAAATAAAAAAGGGAAGTGTTTCAAATTAATTAGAACTTAAAACATCACAGATAATTAAGAAAGTATGTGTTAACAAAGACAGACATGGAGGTAAAAGCTACCCTCAAAAGATTAGGTGAGTATTTATGATATGTTTTAGTGTGTGTGTGGTGTGTGTGTGTGTGTCTGTCTGTATGTGTGTGTGTATATGATATGTTTAATAAAACCAAACCATCATTTTAAGAAGGATAGATACCACATGAATTAGTTCAATTAATGTTAGATTGGCTAGCACTAAGACAAATATTAAACAAACACAGACAAAGGGTTAAAGGCAGATATTAAATCACTACTGATACACACCAGAAATTCTGTCCTTATGTTTTCCTACATAATCCTTTAACAAAAGGATTACCTAAAACAAATGCAAAAATATTTTTGGACATGGGTCACACACTAAGGGGAAGACACATACAAGAGGAACAGGGAAAGGTAGGAAATCCAAAACTTGAAAGTGTTTGATGTGCCCACTGCAGAGGAGCTAATACAGTAACCTTAAAATGACAAGAGGTCACTATGGGAAGGTGACCAGGAAGTAGTGCGAGGTCTGGTAGAGATGAATCAATTTGGGTTGTAATACACATGTTCATGGAAGCATGCTAGGAATCTCTCTGTATAGCTATCCTTATCTCAACTAGCAAAACCATTTTGTCTTTCTTATTATTGCTTATGTCTTCTTTTCAACAAAATTGGAGAAGAGCGCAGAACAGTTTCTGCCTGGAAGCGAGGGGGGTGGGGGGAGAGGGAGGGAGTCGGTGGGGGGGGGCAGGGGGTAGAAATGGCCCAAACAATTTATGTACACATGAATAAATTAATAATAATTAAAAAAACCAAAAACCTCTTCTAGAACCAGTCACCTTACACACCCAATGTGACAGTCCATACAGAGCACACTGAGGCTGTACTACCTACGTCTTGCCTAGAGGCACAGAAGTGTCAGTTAGCACCTGTAGTGATAGAAGCTACCATTCTAGAACAAGCTAATTCATCCAATTTTGGAAATTTCTGCTTGACAGTCTTCCCTCACTAAATTTAAAACGTAACTTTTATTCTAACATACATCTTTATCTTCAAAAGAAGTTCTCAAATAATTTCTTTAGGAGATCCCTAATTCCTTTATGTACTATAGATGTGTGATACTTTCAAATGACCCACTGCTACCTTAATTATTTTCATTTCAATTTGTATATGTGACTCTTGTGATACTAAACAATGCAAATTGTGGGTTGAGATTGATGGAAGACAGACAAGAAAGCTTACATTTTTGTGAGTTAATAAAGCAATGGAGACTCAGATGTTAAAACAATGAAGTGATGTTGCAGAGGCATAACAAAATCCAAGTTATATTTTAAATATACCTATTTTATATTTAGAATTTTAGAGTATATTAAACACAAACATTTCATAAAATATATCCTATATAATATAAAGTCAGTTTGGTATTAGTTTTAATTGTATGCAAAATTGGGAGAAAAAGAAATCCCTATTTCTTAATGTTGCTCTGACAATTAAAAAAAAAATTAATGAAGAATGATTTGAAGAGCATGAGCCAGGGGAAATGAAAGAACCACAGAACCATGTATGAATTTAAATACACATCATAATGCCGAATTGGGATGGGGGATGAGGAAAGTTTTCTTAAATCAGTGAACATGAAAACAAAATGCTTCTGAATGTCACTGAAAGAATGCCACATTTGGTCTGAAAAAATATTTCATAAACTAATTCAGGACTGGAGCTATTACAGTCTGTCCCACTGGAACTGTTTTTTTTTTTTTTTTTTTTTTTGGTGGGGTATTTTTTTGAGACAGGGAATTACCCAGGCTGGCCTTGAACTTACAATCCTGTTGCCTCAGCCTCCTGAGAATTGGACCTACCCATCTGGAAGGAAATTTAATCCAAAAAAAGACAATAATGCTTGTACTCCAACAGCAACTTTGAAGATCAAATGAGAGCACACAGGAAGTTGAGAAGTTGAACAGAAGCTGGAGTTATAAAGTGGTATGGTTTGGATATGAGCCCCAAAACCTTCTGTTGGAAACTTGGTCCACAGTGCAGCAGTATTGATATCTGGGACCTTTGGAAGGCGACTGCATCATGGGGTCAAATCATAGATTAATGGGTTTTCATTAGAGTGGCTTTGTTATATAAAAGTGAGCTCCCTGGCAAGCTTGCTCTGTCTCTGCCATGTTCCGATGCAGCAAGAAGCCCTCACCAGATGCTGTGCCATGCTCTTGGACTTCCCATCCTCTAGGACTTCCCATCCTCTAGAACCTCCCATCCTCTAGAACCATGAGCTAAATAAACCTCTGTTCTTGATGAATTACCGTCTGGTTCTGAGTATTAGTAACAGAAAACATAAGGTATTAAAATCGTACTTACACATGGTAGGCCTGCAATGTTAGTAACATATTTTAACGAAGCACATGAAATGGCCCTCAGTGTCTCTGAATTCTTTTGAGTTTCTTTAGCTTAATTACTATTACGTAATCACTATTTTATAACAGTTTTATCATACCTCACAAAAAACATGCACTCCTGAAATACCATTTCTACCTTTGTCATTCTAAATTATTTCCTTGAGATATTAGTTTCAACAAAGTTTCATATAAGATGTTTGTGGTCAGAGTAAGATTTCTGATAATATAGCCAATGCACATCACTATTCATACACTGAAGGTCCTGCATTAGGGAACAAAAAGGATACCTAAATTAGACACCTATCTAAGTATATACTTTTCCCTTTAGCAAAGCCATTCTTACATTCAATGAATAACAATGCTTATAAATGCTATAGCAGCTAGTAAGCCAATGGCTATTCTGAATGGAGTATTTCATTAAATGACTTTAACATGACCATATGAAAATGGTTCATCAAAATGTGCGTAATGACCTTCCTCCATATTTGTAACTTTACCTCAATTCCAAGAAATGCCCACTTTACTCGCAGATAATATTGCATTTTAAAAGCTCGTCTGCATTGCTCTTCCTGTCACGAATCAGTTACTGTTTTAAATTAACTGATGTTAATTAACAGTGAAGCTGATTTAGTTCTGCCTCTCAGGTCACTTAACACAAAAAATTTACAACTTAAAGTGTGTGCAACTGACATACAAAACTCTGTACAATGTTAATACTATCTTTCAAATCATTAAATTAGTCCACGTGTTTATTAAAGCTGAAAATAGCATGATTATATGTAAAGCGTGGGACAAAAACAAACCCCTTCATAGTATCTTTGGTTGATGTATGTGTGGGTTTGTTTGTTTACTGATTGATTGATTGATTGATTGATTTTACTGGGGCTTGAACTCAGGGCTTACCTTGAGCCATTCCACCAGCCCTTTTTTGTAATAGGTTTTCTCGAGATAGGGTCTCGTGAACTAAATAGTTCTCTGGCTTCAAACCTGGATCCTCCTGATCTCTGCCTCTTGAGTAGCTAGGATTACAGGTGTGAGCCACTGGCGCCTGGCTTGTATGTGTGTTTTATAAAATAAATTTATATTACTTTCACCCAAGTTGATAAATGAGACATGCCTGCAAAAATAGTTTAAAATACTTGGTATCCTATGGCTCATTAAAATACCAAGCAAAGGAGAATTGTACATTAGAAGTTTATAGTTTGAACATAATAGGAAAAAAATTTTTTTTAAACTTTCACTTTTACTGTATATATATTTTTTTATTACCTTGGTTTGTTTGGGGCAAGTTGTCGACTTGGCCGTCTGATAGACTGGTTTTGTTGTATCTTCATTGAAGTCCTGGGAGATGACCGTGCAAAAGGGTCTGGAGCTGGGGGCTTTTTAGGTATCTTTTTCACCAACCGACTAACCCACTTCTGTTGCTCTTCTGTAGAATTTGCTAGTAACAATAGATTCTTTGCCGTTGATATATCATAATACACTATAAAGAAACGTAACAGAAATTAGTATGTTTAAAATGAACTGAATACAATATTAATGGAGCAATAGTTTCCTAACTTACCTTTGCAAGGTGCTATAATCTCCTCCTTTTTGTCCATGTGATCTTTGTGACATTTAATGTGGCAGCGACGGCACTCTAAAGCAGGAGGGGGTTTAAACATGTGCCACAATGGCTTCATACAAGCCTCACAGTTGGTTGGGAAATGATAAAGAGTAGGAATAAACTCATGCCCTTTGTGGCAAATATAATTAGATTTTTCTCCCACTGGCTCCACTGGAAATTCTTGTTCCTTCTTACTTTCTCCTTCATTGGCATACAGAATCTATAAATACCCAAAAGAACAATCAATGATTTCTAGACAAGTTATTTTTATATGGTAACAATTCTGATAATGTAAATAAAATAAAATTAGCCTGAATTGCTCAATGAGAAGAGAATGCATTTGAAGTTCAAACATAAGCAGGTTTGCTAATGAAGAGCTTAAGTAAACAGGCCAGAAGCAATGATTCACAACTGTAATCCTAGCAACTCTGGAGGTGGATATGAGGGTGGAGGTCCAGGACCCAGCATGGGCAAAAAGTAAGAATGACCCCTATCTCAACCAATAAAAAGCTAGGTACGACTAGGGGCAGGGCTCAAGCAGTAGAGTGCTTGGGAAGCAAGCATAAGGCCCTGAGCGCAAACCCCAGATCCACCAAAAAAAATCCTATACCAGTCCTCTAAAAAAAAAAAAAGATGCACATCTGTCATCCCTTGCTATGTGGAAAACATAAATAGGAGACTCAAGGTCCAGGCTGGCCTAGGCATAAGTGCAAGACCCTATTTGAAAACATCTAAAAGCAAAAAGGGCTGAGGGTGTGACTCAAGGCCTTGAGCACAAACCAAAGCGCTTATGTGAACTGGGTTCGTGCTTCAGTAGGAGAGTGCTCACTTAGCACATGTAAGGGCCTGAGTTCAGTTTCTCCAATGCTCCTCCCCACAAAAAAAAAAAAGAAGCTTATATGAGAAAAGTCATTAGACAGTCACAGTCACTTTGCTTCACATTTCAAAAGAACTGATCCTATTCAAATGCTACCTTCTTGTTTTCTCTATAGTATCTTACTGTGCTTTAGCAAAACCATCAGAATAGGCTAGTAAAAGGTAAAATTGTACTTCATATATAAGAGCTTTTCCCCCCTCTTCTGGGAACAATTGTTCAAAATAATCACCTGTGAGTTGGACAGTGTAGTTCAGTGGTAGATCGATGACCTGGGTTCAATCCCTTGCACCCAATGACCCACCCAAAATAAACAACAACAAAAAATCACCTGGAAAAATATGGCAATTATATTAATTGGCATTTTAGACTTTTTAAGAATAGAAAACTTGGTAATAGCTAAAAGGTCAGCCTCATTTTAAAAAATGTGCTTGGAGAGTAAGGAAGAGAAAGAGGAAAAGATGTGTAATATATCCCAGCTCCCCGACAGTATTTCACTAACAGTGACTTTTGCATAGAAGGAACTCAACAACAGCTGTTGGTTTGGATAACTGAAAAGCAGAAGCTGTAAACAGATGATTTGGCTTCAGTTTAAATAGGAAGTAGAAGGTCTGCCAGGTACAAAATTTAACTTCATAAGTGACTTTTTAAATTTTCTAGATGAGCATAAAAACCAAAAACAGGAAAAAGTTCTTCATTTTTTAAAATTACAACCAACCTTGAGAAAAAGAACAACAGACAAGAAACAGTATATGTAGTAAACATACTACAGGCTTTACAAGTAAAATAATAGAGCAAGGAATGAAGATGTTCCCAAATGTAGTAAGCACAACGATCACGAAAGAATAAACCATCTTTAAATGGTACTGAAACAGAAAGGTAATCTGAAGGAGCCAATGAAAAAAGGAATTCAATATGCCATGTCATATAGAGAACCAAGGATGAAAAAAAATAAAACTACGCTTACCTGGAATATCCTTGGAATTTCTTTAGCATCTGCTCTGTATACATCTGTCTGTGTAACTGGCCGGACATGAAATAACTTGCTGTAAGAGATTTTTAATAAAGGAATAACATATTACCCAAGGATACTATTACAGCAGTTATTCTATCCTTACACCAGAAGTTAAAAATTGACTACTTTGGCCCACGGTAGCTCAAGGATTCCTTGTATTAATTTAATCATTAGTTCTAAGATTTTCAGATATTTCCAACAAGTCAACTTTTCTAATTAGTTTCAGAAAACAATGTATTAAAGATCCATGAAGTAAAGATGCTTTAGGTATAATCTATCCCTGACTTTCATCTGTATTAAAGAAATCATGAGATGTTATCATATGACTAAAAGTACACTGCACTAACTTGACAGAAAAGATCATATTACTCTTATCAGACTTTAAAAGACAGTCTCTCTATATTATAGTAAAAAACTTACTCTATATCTAAAACCATGTAAGGATTAGATTGTTCTTTATCTTGTTCGCTGTCATAGAAAAGAATCTTCTTACTGCTTACAATCACATACTGTAAAAAAAAAAAAAAAAAGGGAAGAATCAAACATTGAACAGTTATTACATACCATATTTACTGATTTTCTTTTAAAGGAAAGATAGTATTAGTGATAGAAATCATAAGACACCAAAGTTAAGTAACTGAAAAGTACTGATGTAGCTTTAGGGAAGTACTCCTTAAAATAACAGTACACTTGTTCACAGACACTTTTACTTATTTTTGTTGCAGACACTTTATTTCATTTCATGGGTGCGGGGGGCAGTACTCAAGACTGAACTCAGTGCCTCACACTTGGTAGGTGAGTCATTCTGCCAGCCCTGTTCTAGAATATTAAAATAAACCAATGGGGGAGGGGAGGAAGAAATGAAGTCAAATATATTTTGAATGGATTTAGCTTTGGGATCCAACAGCATCAGTAATCATATCAAAAATGAAGGAGGGCTGGGCACATGGCTCAAGTGGTAGAGCTGAATTCAAAATCTAGTATGGCCATAAAGGGGGTAAGAAAAAAGAACATAATGACATCAATAATCAAAGGAAATAAATAATAAATGGGTCTATTATATCCAGAGCTGTTTTTCTAACAGGAACAACAAAAGAACAAAGGTGAACAGCTTTATGCTTGACTAATATCAAAACCTGTCTTATTATTAACAACACATGAAGAACAAAACATTTTTTTACAAACATAAACAAAATTATATCATTTTTTGCAATGTTGGGGCTTGAGCTTAGGGCCTACATCTTGAGCCACTCCACCAGCCCTTTTTTGTGTTGGGTTTTTTTCAAGACAGGGTCTCTTGAACTATTTGTACAGGCTGGCTTCAAATCTCAATCCTCCTGATCTCTGCCTCCTGAGTGGCTAGGATTACAGGCGTGAGCCACCGGTGCCCAGCATATCATTCCAAATTAGAGAGTACATACATAAAAAAGATTTGTGTCTAAAAGTTTTAGGCATAAAACTCCAGTGACCCCAAAAGTGAAATGTCTGGGGTTAAACCTGAAGCAAAAAAAAAAAAAAAAAAACAACTATATTTAAAAATACCAATTACCTTTTTAACCCATCCAAATTTCTTGGTGTTGTTTCGCACAGGCAAAGACAGCCATCCTTCTAATCTTGATTCTATAAATAAGCACAGATATGAGGATAAATGTAGTGATTCTCCTTAGACAATGAGGAATTTAATAAAATTTTAATCTGGAAGCCATAAAACCAATCAAATATGCCCTTCAGAATTTATCACTATTACCTATGTACAAAAATAATATAGGATCAGTAGAAGCAAGCTATGCAATGCAAAACAAAAATTCAAGTTATGCCACATTGAAAATAAATATTCCATATTATAAAGTCTAACACCCAGTTGATTAAATTCATGCATTGGTAAAATTCAGGAGAAAAGTTGCAAAAACAAAAATGAAACAAAAAACCCAGCTCTGTATTCTTATGGCTATATCTGCATTAAAATCCTTTATTTTTCCTTCAGAAAATGGCTTGCCTATAAAGATCTAACATACATCTTTGAGAAGAAAACTTTTTAAATCAGTGTTCAGAGAATAAGGACTTTTAGAATGGCTATACTAAGATGAAATAAAATTCTGAAAGTTATAGTTTAAATTTGTTTAACAAGCAACAATATAACCAAAAGATTTCTAAACTACAAAATATGAAAACCAGTAAAATTCTAGTTCTACTAAGAAACATGTCTAAGTCCCTTGACTTTGTTCAAATACATTTGATCAGTGTCTTTTTAAATCAGTATCTTTTAATGAAATAAACAAGTGAAGTAGCATTTTGGGAAGTTACTCTAGTAGTACAAGTAGCTACCGACTAATATCTGTTCTGTGTCAACTGTGATCAATGCTCTACATCAATTCTCTACACTCCTCACAAAACGACACACAACAGGAAATACCCTAATTGAGATGTGGAAACTGAACTCTGGGCAGCTCACACATGGATGCCCCTTTGACTTAAAAAGAAAAGCAACCAGAAGTCCTTTCAGGGTAAGGACTGGGCCAAATTGTCTTTCAAGGCCTAGCACATGAGGAACAGGTAAATACTCAACGAAAACCTAAACACATTCCCTGAATCAGTCTACATGGTTTTTTTTTTTCTGTACTGTCACTCCTGATAGGAAACTTCGAAAAGAATTTCTTGTTTAAAAATGGATGAAACAGGGTTGGGAGCATGGATCAAATGGTAGTGTTACCCTAGCAAGTGTGACACCCTGGGTTCAATCCCCAGTATGACATTTAAAAACAAAGGAAAAGAAAGAAAATGGATGAAACAAGCAGTAAAACCATATTCTCTTCTTAAGTCATATAACTATAATGTACTGCTTCATTTCTCTTAAGTTGGCAAAATATATGACAAATTACAGTTAGCAATGCCATGTGAAAAGACCTTAAAAATGGATTCTTTGGCATGCGTCAGCTTATTTTTAACTGGAGTCTATAGCAGCATGTCAGAGTTAGTGAATATTAGTTATTGTTATAAAAATGTTTCAAAATGACTAAAATTAATGTTAATGTGGAAAACTCCAAAGACAAAAAGATTTTTAGGATGTCACCTGTACCATTAGGTTCCGATGAAATGGGTAAGTAAGGCAAAGATTCTTCTTCTGAGTCAGAATCAGAGTCAAGGAGCATGTGAGAACCGGAAGGCTTAGTGGCAATACTGAGGGAAGTAGAGGATCGTTGGTACGTGAATGACATGGATTCCGTAGTGTGTGACTGAGTGAAATGAACTAAAACACCCAACATGAGGAAGTAAGAATGCAGAAAGAAGAGAAAATAAATGAAAGCTTAAAAAGAAAGCTACTATATAGGATATCAAATGAGTTAAACATCTAAACATGTGGAGTTTTCTTTTGCATGTTTTTAAGTGAAAAATATTGTCAAAAATTAATGAATACAGTCCAAAATGTTATTTGAATCCCCACTCCAAGGAGTAGGTTTCCCTTGAAGAAATGATAAACATTTTTCCTCAAAAGCAAAGTCAGGCACAGGACTTAAACAATCACCTCATGTATATGTAAGATAAGCATAAGGGCTGAAAGAGCATCTGTACCTGGAAACCCATCATCTGCCTCGGTGTCCCCTGGTCCACTGCCTACACTGGAACTGTCCAAGCCAATGTGCATGGCCTGGAGCTGGGAGCGCAGCTGCTCAATATCACTGTCCTTACTGTCCAGTGTCATCTGCAGTTCAATTCGAATCTGGCTCTCTTCAGCTATTTGCTATAAAAAATTAAACCAAAAAAATTGGATATGTCTCATAATTTTGTATCTTGGTTCAGTTATAAATATTAACCAAATACCCACAGACATGAAAATAATTCTACTTCTTAAAAAAAAAGTCTTCAATCTAAAGTCCCAAAAGTATTCTTACAGCCTGCATTTCATTCAGTTCTTTCTGATACTTGATCATCTGCTGGGTCAATTTTTCGCGTTCAGATTTAAGCTCCATATGTAGCTTTCTATTCTCCTTCTCTTTCCTTCGCACATCTGTATCACTTCCACGCTTGACAGGTTCTTTTCGATTCATGATCTCTGCCAACTTATTCACAGCCTTAAAAAAACATAAACATAAGCCTAAGTAAAAATAATTACGTTGATGATTTTTCAGTAACCTTATAAACTGCAAGTTATACAACCATTAATAATCTCCTTCCCCATACACAGGGCTACAAAGAAACACTTTCTATATTATTTCAAATATACTTTCTGTGTTGCTCATTGTCCTCCACTGTACACTCCATCAGTTTTTCTTTGTCATGATTGCTGAGAATGGTAATTTAAAATGTTTATAGGGGTTGGGGATAAGGGGATGCAGTTCAGTGGTAGAAAGCTTGTCTAACATCACAGGCCCTGGATTTGATCCCCTACACATTCATAGGCTTGATCTAATGTCACTTTGTACTATTTCAACTTTTGTTCTAAGAAAGACTTTTTGTTGTTGTTGTTGTTCCTTTTTTGGTGGTACTGGGGGGTTTGAATATCATGCTTGCCAGGCAGGTGCTCTACCACGTGAGCCACACCCTCCCCACCTTCCCCCCGTCCCTGAGAGTTTAATAGGCAGATGTTTCTTCTTTTATTCTGGAGGAATGGAATTCTGCATCGGCATTAAAATATACCTTGCTAACAACAGAGAATGGTAACTAGTACCCACACACATTTGGGGAGCTGGCCAAGGGGTGGTCAGTAATCACACAAGCCTTTGCAGATTAAGTTTTCAGGCTTTCAGCAAATGGTCACTCTTAAAAAACAGAAAACCTTCTTTGGGTTACAATAAAAAAACTGAGAGGGAATGCAGAAAAATTAACAATATTGTTCACAGATGTTGAGTTAGATAATGTCCACTGAACCTAGTTTCTCCTGCTCTGGCAAAAATCAGGAAATTATTCAAATATTGATATATCTAATGACTACTGCTTTCAAGTTGCAATGCTAGAAGTAAAATGTAAGAAAAAATACAATTCAAATCCCATTTCAGCTCTAGCGCCGGACCTGAGTCTTGAGTGTCCTCTCTGTCAACAGCTGCTTCTCAAACTGTGCTTTGATAGCTGCGGCACTTATCTCTTCGTCTTTCAGCCTGGATAGTTCTGGAACATGCAAAAATGTTCACATTACACCGGTAACTACAGCAGGTGACAGACATGCGGTATATGAAAAACAAACTTATCATTAATACATACGCTCTTGAGCATCTTTCAATTTGTTGTTTAATTCTTCCTTCTCATTTGCAAGATTAGCAACATCACTAGTTAGTGTCCTATTTGTTTCTTCAAGCTAAGAAGTGGAAGTAGAAAAAAAAGGTCACATCCCAATTTATAAAACTTAAGTCATAGAACAATGATTCAAAGTTCAGAACCCCAAATATCTTTAAGCCTCTTGTTTTTGTACTACCTTACCAACTTTGCCCCTGATGAAAACCTTGTGCTCAGTAAGATTTCAAGTGCCCCAATGCCAAAAATTTGCCCTACTCTTACAAATCCTTAGCAGTTTTCTAAAATGAGAAAACCACAGAAATACAAAGCCCTGCATACCCACCATGAAGAATAGACAAATTTTAAAATCATAATATATCTCTGAAAATAGTTTTTAAAAGATAAAATTTTACTGAGCAAATTGACATCCTTTTTAAAAACTTAGCCAATGTTAATTGTACAAAGTGAAGGGTTTCATCCAATATCCTTTTTGTATTCCTTTCAAATTCTATTTCTATTCTTCCTTCCTGAAGTAAATTTTATTAGGAGTTATGCGTTAATCCTTCTCACCCATGACTGTTTATTATTATTGTTTATATAATGTGGTTTCATTTGACATTTTTCTTTTTTTTGTGGTACAGGGTTTGAACTCAGGGCCTTGCACTTAAAACTTGAGCCACAACCCCATCCCTTTATTGTTTCACTGTTTTCTGAATAAGGTCTCACATTTATGCCTGTATTGACCTAGACTGCAATCCTAGTTATGCTTCCAGTATAGCTGGACTGACAGGTGAATACCATGCCTAGCTTTTTCTGACTGAGATGGGGCCTCACTAACTTTTTCCAAGGCTGGCCTTGAACCTTGATTTTCCCAATCTCTGCCTCTTGAATAGGTAGGATTTCAGGTGTGAGCCACAATGCCTGGATTTATGTTATTTTGAATCATGCTATATTTATCTTTCTGAAATTGTTTTCACTGAACATCATATTAAAGAATTAAACTGCTATCCAAGCATGGCAGTGCATACTTGTAAGCACAGCATTCGGAGGCTGAGGCAGGAGGATTGTGAGTTCCAGGACAGCCTGATCTACATAGTGATACCCTGTCTCAAAAACAACAACAAAGAATTAAAAAGAATTATATAATATATATATATCTTTATAAATGTGTATATAAAGATCTAATTAATTTTAATGGATACAACAGTTTCAGCTCTACCACTTTTAATATATCTAGTCATGCATCTATTAGTAAGACATCTGAATTTTTGCTATTTACAAATATTTAGGTTGCTATAAGCATTGTGCCATTGTTTCTCTGGCATATCTATCTTACTGTGGACCTTCTCTGGACTGCACTACATACTTAGAAGTTTCCTGGAAATCCTGGGCTATTTATTTACTACACTATACTAGGCCAAAGAAAAACTTCCTTTACCAGGTACCTATCAAACACTTAAAATTGTCAAGTACCAAATTTTTGTCATGTTATGGGTATGAAACAGCATTTCGAAGCTGTTCTGTCTAGTCTTTTGCTGAAAGCAGTGAGGCAAAGCAGTGAGGCAAACATAAATATGTATTTATGTTTTCTCTTTGATAGTTTTCTTGTGAAACACTTAACCTCTTCTTATTCAATTACAGTTCTATATGATCCCCATATAGAACTTTAATAAATATATTGTAACTATCTTCTCCCTGTGCTTTATGTTGTCTTCTGTCATACCTAAGTTTTAGATTATGTTCTAATAGCTTGACATTTTTATTTTTCATATTTGGTCCCTAAGACAGCTAGAACTTACTTCTGTGTGTGGCATGGGAAGGATCTAATTATATTCCTTTCCACATGAAAATATACTTATTCCAAACCATTTATTCAATCCGTGTCCTTCCCCCTGGTTCGTGCACTGCCAAGCACATGCCAAGTTCCTGCTGTACAGGGATCTATTTCTGGCCTCCTTATTCATTTCCACTGAGCAGGACTGGACTGCCCTGTCCTAACGCCACACTTTCCAGTTAAGTCTAGCATTTCAATAGTTCTGCATAATTGACAGGGTTAACTCAACTTCTTGGTATTTTACTTTTCTCTACAATTTTTCCTTGGTTAGACTCTGACAAACACAGAAAAGTTGATGGTTATTTGAATTAAAAATCTGGTAGCCAGCACAGACATTTTTTCATTTAGATCTGTGACACTGTATTAGTTCTTCTAAAGGAGGTTTATGATATAGCAATTTAATTATAATCCAAAAAAAGTACCACGAGTTTCACTTACAGATGCAATAGTAGCATCTTTTTCAGTAAGTTCCTGTTTGTGTCTAGCCATCATCTCTTTGATCTCCAGCTCTTTCATGATTTTCTCTTTTTCCAAATCAGAGTATTGTTCTTCAGCAATTGAACGAGCCAGCTGCTCAGAATCTGCCTTGGTCAAGGTGATCTCCAGCTGGGCAGCCAAGGAGTCCCTATATTTTAGAGATACAGCATTTACAAAATTTTTTAAAAACTGTCTTTTGTGCTGGAGATTGAACCCAGGGCTACACACTTGCTCAGCAAACACTACCACTGAGGTAAATCCCCAGTTCCTTTAGACATATATTATTTTAATGTTCAATTTTCACTATGAAGTTAAAAGGTTTTTGTCTATTTGACTTCAATAGATTTTTATTTGGCGAATTACCCAGCACTGTTCTAGGAGCAGGGCACACACTTACGAACAAGGGACAGGAAGCTCATTCTTACCTTTCATCCTGTAATTCCTGTTTCTTCTGCTGTAATTCTTTACAAAGTTTGGTCTTTTCTTCACTTTCTTCTTTAAGTTCCCTAACTTGTGTTTTATACAGGGTCTAAGTAGCAAAATGCAACAGAAATATGCATCATTATCATTAAGAACACTATCTCTACATTTAAAATCTATTTAGACAAAAACTGAACACATACAAATATTTTCTTAATGTTGAATAATGTTGAATTCCTGAGCAAATTAATAATTTAGTGGGCTCTCCTATTTTCTAGGGATCAATTGATAAACTAATAAAAAAGTTCAGCTAGTGGCTGGAGGTGTAGCTTAGTGGTCGGCCCAGTAAGTCCCCAGAACGCTCCAACAGCTGAAAGAGTCAGCCAACAATTTAAAAGCATGACTTTCAGCTGGATGTTACTGTACTATTTCTCATTAAATTGCATAGATTCATATGAGGAACAAAGAGTCAAGGAAAAGCATTATTAATTTGTAAAAGAAAATTCTGTTGACTTAACGGAACAGAGGTGACAATTTCTACTTCATATTTTAAAACTGATCTTAAAAAAGTAAAAGTGTTAAAATGACAATTTTATTTATTTCATTATGAAAATATATTTTTCCTTTAAAAAAAATCAACGTTTTTAAACCAGCTTCACAGGCAAAGTATGTGTTTAGAATAATGTTTCTAGCAATGACAATGAATTTTATTTTATTTTTTTGTGTGAGTATTTTACCGTGTTGCGCAGGCTGGTCTCAGACCTGTGGGCTCGAAAGATCCTCCCACCTCTGCCTTCAAGTAAGTGGTACTGGCCAATAATGGATTTCTGTTAAACTATCCACATTCTTTTGCCTAGTACTTTTTTTTTTTTTTGCAGTACTAGAGTTCAAACTCAGGGCCTCATGCTAGCTAGGCAGGTACACTACCACTTAAGCCACACCCCTATTCCACTCAGTACTTTTTATTTTAGCTACATGATATTAAATACCCCACCCAAAGTTCTGTCAGATATTTGTCATAGAATCTATTTTAAAGAAAATCATTCTGGGCAGGGCATAGTGTCTCATGCCTATAATTCCAATTACTGAGGAGACAGAGAAGCTAGCCCAGGCAAAGATGCAAGACCCTATTCTAAAAATAAGTAAAGCAAAAAGCGTTGAGGTGAATGGCTCAAGTGATAAAGAGTGCTTGCCTAGCAGGCATGTGGCCCTGAGTTCAAACCGTACCACCAAATTAACTTAAGTAAAACAAAGAATTCTCCTGGCTGTGCAGTAAGGATTAAAAAAAAATTCTACAACTATGTCAATTTCAAATTAATGTGTCTAGAACTTACTGAGAAATACTGTTCTGCTTCAAGTTGATCTTGCAGCTCTTTCATTTGCCCATCTGCATCCTGCCGTTCTCTATGAAGACAATGAACCAAAGGCTTAGAAGTTAAGTTATAAACATTTTAAACCAGTCACTCTGGAAGTAAGGTCTGGGGAACTCTGGAGTCCCTTTCAAAGAATGTCAGAGGTCCAATCATTTTCAGGCTAATCCTAAGTGCATCACTGCTTTTGAAATCTCTCATCCCTTCACTACTTTGTATGGACTTTTCTTGAGGCTACACGACATATTATGACATCAGTTCCTCAGCTAATGAAACACGTGCTTGTGTTTTAAGTTTTTCACTTTTAATTTTTAACTCAACAAGTATCATTAGATATCACATAAACAAAAAACTCTTTGAAACCCTCACTTTTCAGAATAAAAGGATTCTAAGACAAAACAGTGTTATATTAAACCAACTCTGAATTACTGAGTCCTACAACATATGCTGAGGTCAGCTATAAATGCCCACCGAATAGGTTCATAGTACCTTAAAAACTGGAGGATGGTGACTACACAGATTGTACACTTTATAAGATTTACTGAGCTTTACAATTATGAGTTGTGTACATTTTTTGTACATTAACCTTCAATTGTAAATAAAATGAAATAAATAACAATGAGCTTAACATCCCATTTAAGAAACTTGAAATTTTATGTTAAAGTCCAGGTTTATTTTAAAAACATAAAAAAAATTGTACTTCTTCCAAGTCAAAGATAAGGGGAACAAAAAATCTGGAGAACAACACAATTTCTACGACATAATTAAAAAACAAATAAGGAAAAACTAAAAAGAAAAGAAAAAAGAAATAAGGAAAAACTCAATCTTACATATATTTGCAGTTATCTACATACTGGTACAGAAAAAGTCTGGAAGCACAATAAACTAAGATGTTACCTCCTATAGAAAAAGAAAGACCTCTCATTCACAAATGGAAACTTTGTATGTATTCTTTAAAATACAGTTCTGCATATTTTGCTATTAATAAAATATGTGAATAATACTTGGGCATTAATACAGCAAGAAAGACTAAGACAAAGCAAATGATTGAATTCACCATGTTCAATCTGTGTGTTACTCAGGCCTCTTCTCCTCATTGCCACTTAATATAATTTGGTTACTTTGTTTACTCACTGGGTAAAAAGGAAGTTATGACACAATGTAATTAATCTGTGTTAGCTCTAGATCTTATTATTGATGATTGTATTACTGAGAATTCATGCTTCGTATTTCCCTAGGAGTAAAAAATGTGACAGATGCCAGACAAGGTGGCACACACCTACAATTCCAGCACTCAGAAGGCTGACCCATGAGGATCGAGAATTTGAGGCCAGCCTGGGCTACATACTGAGTTCAAGGCAAGCCTAGGATACACAGAGAGACCCTGTCTCAAAAACAAAACTCCAAAGTAAAAATAAAAGAAGTAAAAGATGCTAATTAATAATATATGAACTATGAAAGGTCAAGATTCAAAACTATCCTAGCAGCAGCAGGTAGGCCCACCTGTAGCAAACCTCTGTATAATTTTAATATCAGGATCTTTTTGAAGAATAAAGCTAAGATACAGGAAAATAAAACAGACAACAAAAAACCAAAGATGTTTGAATGTCATTACAATTTCTGGCATTTGTTTATTTATTTGTGGTACTGAGGAGTTTGGAACTCAAAGTCTTGCACTTGCTAAGCAGGCATTATACCACTTGAGCCACATCTCCAGCTCTTTTTTGCTTCAGTTATTTTTCGGATAGGGTCTTGTGTTTTTTTCCATTGCCAGACTTGGGCTGTGATCGTCCTATATACACCTCGTCCCATAACTGGGATTACAGATTTTATTTTATTTTTTTTTCTGATTTTATTTTATTTTTTTTTTCATTTTTCTTTTATTATTCATATGTGCATACAAGGCTTGGTTCATTTCTGCCCCCTGCCCCCACCCCCTCCCTTACCACCCTTCCGCCTCCTCCCTCTCCCCCCCACCAAATACCCAGCAGAAACTATTTTGCCCTTATTTCTAATTTTGTTGTAGAGAGAGTATAAGCAATAATAGGAAGGAACAAGGGTTTTTGCTGGTTGAGATAAGGATAGCTATACAGGGCATTGACTCAAATTGATTTCCTGTGCGTGGGTGTTACCTTCTAGGTTAATTCTTTTTGATCTAACCTTTTCTCTAGTACCTGTTCCCCTTTTCCTATTGGCCTCAGTTGCTTTAAGGTATCTGCTTTAGTTTCTCTGCGTTAAGGGCAACAAATGCTAGCTAGTTTTTTAGGTGTCTTACCTATCCTCACCCCTCCCTTGTGTGCTCTCGCTTTTATCATGTGCTCAAAGTCCAATCCCCTTGTTGTGTTTGCCCTTGATCTAATGTTCACATATGAGGGAGAACATACGATTTTTGGTTTTTTGAGCCAGGCTAACCTCACTCAGAATGATGTTCTCCAATTCCATCCATTTACCAGCAAATGATAACATTTCGTTCTTCTTCATGGCTGCATAAAATTCCATTGTGTATAGATACCACATTTTCTTAGGGATTATAGATTTTAATCACCACGTCTGCTCTAATTTTAAAAGTTGAAACTTCATCAAGTTTAAACTTAAGATTAAACAACAAGTTTAATCAAGTCTAGGCTTACCAGGCAATAAATGAATTGGTAAAAAGAACAAAGTCTACTTGAATATTTAAACATCCTCTCCTAGACAGTGTCTGTCTTTCTGACCTGTCTACTCTATTGTGACAATAGAGTAGCCCTCATAGTTACTGGTGTAGTAATAGGTATAGTAGTAAAAGTCCCTAACATTTATTGTATGCTAACCACTTTTCATAAATCGTTAACAAGGACGCTAATACTTGCAGATATGACAGACGCTCAGAAAGGTTAAACATTTTTCCCAGTGTTGGTCATTGGTCAACTAGTAAGTACTGGAAGTGATACTCACACCACAGTGTGCTGGGCCCAAAGCCTCACCTGTCACACTCTCATACTCCCTTCCCTCTCATCAAATAACTGAGATCTAACATGACCTTTGATCATGACTGGGAGGAAGTAATTCTACTACTAATAGAAAGTAGAACAAACTTTAATACTATATTTGCTCTAATTTTTAATACAATATGTTTTCCACTTCTTAAATAAATTAAGTAGAGCACTAGAATACATCCTATAAAATGATTAAAAATTTATGTTATATGGTGCTTGCTTAACAGTCAAACACTTGGCAAGTCCTAGAAACAAACCCAACAAATAAGCACACAAACAGTAAGTTTGTGTGGCAGACCTAAAAAAGGACCTCAAGGGCAAGGAGTAGAGAACACCATGATTAGGTGGCATTGGTAAACAAATCTAATCTTTAAGGACAACAAGTAGCTTGTATAGAAGAGAAAATGTGTTCAAGAAAGTGAAATGGTTAAAAGAAAATTCCCAGATAAACCAAAATTCAGACAAATGGATAATTATGCATATTCAAACTCTCTCAACCAGTTAACTTACTTTCGAAGTTCAGCATTTTGTTTTTCCAAGCTCATTCTCATTTCCATGAGATGATTATTCTCTTGTTTTAACTGCTTTTCTGACATCTTCAGTGTGTTCACTTGCTGTGTTTGCATCTTCAGGTCATTTTGTGTAAGGCAGCGTTTCTGAGCTTCTTGCTCTATTTTTAATGTCAAATTTCGAACCTAAAAATATAAGTAAATTAGTTTGATTTTTCTTAGGAATGAAGCTGGTAATAAATATGGTGATAAACAGATTTTTTTCCATTCATCTCACAGTAAAATACTTATATGTATATTCCTAAGAATGTTATAAATATATTTTAAAATAAAATATAATCTTAAGGTAAAAATAACTTAAAATTAAATTTTGATTTGTTTACCGTATCATCAAAAAAAGCCAAGAGTGTATGGACTATTATTATAAGAAAATTTTAAAGATTATTAGTCTCTTTATAAAGAAAACTAGTTTATTCTTATGTATTATTAGAATTCATACTTACATCCTCATTTAGCACATCTTTCTGTTTAAGGAGCTCATTTAATTTCTGCTGTGACTGTTTGAGGTCACAGTCCAGGAGAGAGCATTTTTTCTCAGATTCCAGTAATAGGTTCTCCACTTTCTGTTTTAAAGACCTTTCCTCCAAGAGCTTCTTCTCCATTTCTGTTTCATAAAAATGGACATAATAATGAATTTGTAAGTAAAAGCTTGTCAAATATGACAGTATCGATAAAATGACAGCAATACCTTACTATTACATTTTCATTCATTTCCAACTTAATATTTCTATCACTCCTCTCAATACATTTGAAATGTCAAAAATTTTATGCTTAGAAATTAGAAGTTTCATTTGCAGGAATAAAATGTATCATACTCTGTGATTGTATATACATTCTAATGGAAACAAGATAATTCTGCCTTTATTTATGGTTCTCTGAGATGCTGACATCTTTAAATAAAGATTCTCTTATTTCCCTGCCACCCCGTGTCTCTCAGTGTTATTATTTTTACTGTGAAACACTCCAGGTGGATTCTCTGTCCTCCACATTAATACATTACTCTGAAGGTGCTCAAAAACGTGCCAGGAGCTGAGGTTACAAAGATATTCTATACCTTGTTTTGGTGGTAATTTTGTGAGTGAATCACAAACATCAATAATGTTTACATTTTACTGCACGTAAATTACACGTGAACAAAAGTAATTCGACATTTCTAGGCCATGGACAAGGGAACATGGTGCACTAACATGCTCTCTTTCAATTAGATTTTTCTAAATAAGACACTTATTTTGTTTCTTATCATCTAAATTAGTGTCTTAAATTCAAATGGTTTTAATTTTTAAAATCTGCTATTTTAATTATATGTAATTAAAAGGCTATTTTTGCTAAGTTACAATGTTATGCTTCAATATGAGATGAAATTTCTATTCCAGAGTTTAAGACTTCCACAAGAATAATTTAAAGTAATAATTACTTTTGGGATTTCAAATTCATTATAATTATAAACAATTTGGAAAACAAGAAATTATCCTAAGACAATTCTAAGCCAAAACTGGTTTGTAAAAGTTAGCTTTGGTATCTGTTAGTATTGCATGGCTTTGACTGAATCTGGCTGATATCTTCATCACTTCATAGTCCAAAAACATTCAGTAAATATATATGTTTAGACTAGATATTATTTTAAAATCTTCACCTTATATAAACTGGGAACAATTTTTTTAACACAGTTGGTGAAATGTGAAATTATCATCAAAAATAATACAAAAAAAGAATTCATCCCTCAAATCTGAGAAGATAAACTGGGCACCCATGGATCACACCTGTAATTCTAGTTTCTCAGGAGGCAGAAATCAGGAGGATCAAGATTCGAAGCCAGCCCAGGCAAACAGTTCATGAGACCCTATCTCGAAAAAAAACCTATTTCAAAAAAAGGCTGGTGGAGTGGCTCAAGGTGTGGACCCTGAGTTCAAGCCCAGCACTGCAAAACAACAACAACAAAAAAACCTGAGTAAATATAGCTAGAATGTCACACTGTATACTTTTCACTATTGTTATCACTGAATTAGGGAATTTCTCTTAGACTTAAAAATTCGGTTGAATAATTATGAATTTGGGCCTTACAATCTTAGAAATGAATGTTATGAAGATGCAAAGGAAAAACAAGTATGCAACCTTTTCTAATAGCATTCTTCTTTTCAGTTCCCAACATCTAGCAGTAAAATATAAACATTTTTCAAAGCTAGAGTAGTATACAGAATCAATTCTCGGGGAAACATTGCTAGAAAACTCTTCTAAAACCGCGTACCTTTCATGGCTTCTGATTTAGCTTCTTCAATGGACTCGTAGATCTTATTTTTATCTGCTAGTCGTGCTTTTGTGGTCTTGTGTTCAGCTTCCTCTTGTTCTAAGCTCTGTTGTATAACTTTTAATTGGTATGTCATATCTATTTCCATGTTGCTCTTTTCCTATTAAAGATTGTAAATGGCAGCTATCAATAAAAAAAATAAGCTGGCTCACAATTTCAAAACTTTCTAAATTGTTTTAAAGCAGACTTATTAAGAATGCTCAGTATTTTCTCTCCTCTCTTCATCCAAACTTCCTGCAACAGTAATCTACGCCGTCTGCTTCTTCATTCCTCCTGCACCCCTGCCATGCTTCTGCATTGAGACTGTTTAATCTCAAGAAAGGGACCAGAGGTTATTCTCAACATCTCCTCTTCTTACAGGATTATTTCCCAAACTTTTAAAACACACTTCACTTCCTCTTTGCTACATTAAAAAAAAAAAAACTTCAAGATCTCTTACCATTCACTTAGGAGACTTTTGCTGTGTTTTAAAGGCAGTGGTGGGGATGGAATCCAGGGCTTTGTGCATGCTGGACAACTACTCTCCCACCGAGCTACATCCCCAGCCAGAGACTTGTTTTAAATAAAGAATCTTTGATAACACGTCAGTCAGTCTACTTTCTATATATAACTGAGATTTTCTACCTCCTTAATTTTTATAGTACATATCAGATGATACAAGTATTTCTTTTTTTCAAAAAAATCTGTAATACTAAAAATGTCTTTTCAAACTACATAATGAAGTACACCAAACTATACCAATGGAGTAATATACTGTTGTGAATAATCATGACTCTACAGTTTTCTTCCTCTCACATAGTTTCAGCAACTTACACACCAATGACTCAAACATTTCTAGCTTCTAGTACCAGGGCTTACTGCCTTGTAGACATCCTAACTTGGCTTTTACAAAGGTATTTCAAACTTCAGAGGACTAAAATGGATTTATCGCTGTCTCTAAATTAGTTATTTTTCTTTATTCCTTATTAACTAACTGCACCACTCTGTATCTTGTCATAACCTACTCATCCGTGACTACTACTTCCATACCATACCAAATCAATTATAAGTGCTGCCACATAGTCCTCCCTCAGTGTTTCTGAGTTATCTATATTCCCATGTTCTAAACCATTGCTCAACTTAAGTCCATCTGAATTACTGAAAGTCTCCCAAGTAATCTTCTTGCATCTAGTCCTCAAATCTATTCTCCCCATAGTACAGTGAGATAATAACCTATCTTAAATATGTCTCTAATAGGATCATCTAATTTAACCCCTTTGGTGGCTGGCCCATTACTTAGAGACTATATTCTCAGTTTCAAAACAGACTTTTCTTTTTTTTTTTTTTTCATTTTTCTTTTATTATTCATATGTGCATACAAGGCTTGGTTCATTTCTCCCCTGCCCCCACCCCCCCTTACCACCCACTCCCCCCTCCTCCCCCCCCCCCTCAATACCCAGCAGAAACTATTTTGCCCTTATCTCTAATTTTGTTGTAGAGAGAGTATAAGCAATAATAGGAAGGAACAAGGGGTTTTGCTGGTTGAGATAAGGATAGCTATACAGGGCATTGACTCACATTGACTTCCTGTGCGTGGGTGTTACCTTCTAGGTTAATTCTTTTTGATCTAACCTTTTCTCTAGTTCCTGGTCCCCTTTTCCTATTGGCCTCAGTTGCTTTAAGGTATCTGCTTTAGTTTCTCTGCGTTAAGGGCAACAAATGCTAGCTAGTTTTTTAGGTGTCTTACCTATCCTCACCCCTCCCTTGTGTGCTCTCGCTTTTATCATGTGCTCATAGTCCAATCCCTTGTTGTGTTTGCCCTTGATCTAATGTCCACATATGAGGGAGAACATACGATTTTTGGTCTTTTGGGCCAGGCTAACCTCACTCAGAATGATGTTCTCCAATTCCATCCATTTACCAGCGAATGATAACATTTCGTTCTTCTTCATGGCTGCATAAAACTCCATTGTGTATAGATACCACATTTTCTTAATCCATTCGTCAGTGCTGGGGCATCTTGGCTGTTTCCATAACTTGGCTATTGTGAATAGTGCCGCAATAAACATGGATGTGCAGGTGCCTCTGGAGTAACCTGTCTTTTGGGTATATCCCCAAGAGTGGTATTGCTGGATCAAATGGTAGATCGATGTCCAGCTTTTTAAGTAGCCTCCAAATTTTTTTCCAGAGTGGTTGTACTAGTTACATTCCCACCAACAGTGTAAGAGGGTTCCTTTTTCCCCCATCCTCGCCAACACCTGTTGTTGTGGTGTTGCTGATGATGGCTATTCTAACAGGGGTGAGGTGGAATCTTAGTGTGGTTTTAATTTGCATTTCCTTTATTGCTAGAGATGGTGAGCATTTTTTCATGTGTTTTCTGGCCATTTGAATTTCTTCTTTTGAGAAAGTTCTGTTTGTTCACGTGCCCATTTCTTTATTGGTTCATTAGTTTTGGGAGAATTTAGTTTTTTAAGTTCCCCAAAACAGACTTTTCAAAATCTTACAGTATTGGGCTCATGCCTAGTTATGTATCTTACTCTGGCCACTGAATTCCTCATACTCTTGTATGAAGAATTATTGTGTAGGGCTGGGGGTGTAGCTCAATGGTTACAGTAGTGCTTGGCCGTAGCATTCATGAAGGCCCTGGTTCCAAGGCATAGCCTATTGGCTGAGTCGCTCCCCCCTAAGTGCCAACCAAAAAAGAGACATATTGTGGATGCCCGCGCAATTTGTGTGGTGGGGTTGATAGTTACTTTTCTTTTTAAAGTTTCCTTGAGAGGTAGCCATAATGCCTTCCTTTACAAATTGCAATAGGGCTGAGTAGTTGCAACAGACCTAATAGTCCATACAACCTAAAATATTTGCTATCCTGCCTTTAGAAGACTAAAGTTTTCTGACTTCTACTCTTATACTTCAGAAACATTGGACACTTTGTACTTAAATAAACAGTGCCTTTGGTATTTTCCATCTTCTACCTTTGTTCGGGGTGTTCTCGCACAATGAGTGGGCCTTTTCCTGTCAGAGGTACTTGCCTTCCATACCGAATAGGCATCCTGTCCACACCTATCTCATTCTATTTACATGCTGCTTTGAATCATCTGTGGGCTTCATTGTTACTTTTAAAATTACCCCTCAGACTGTGATATTATTAAATGCAAGGACAGCATTCTGATACTTCAATCAAAGAAGACGCACTAAACATTCAAGTGAATGAATAAGCAAGTACATAAAAATAAAAACCTAACTACATAGAACCAAGAAATCATTCCTGGCTTAGGATATTTTAAAAGAAAACTTCTAAATGTCAAAAGTCATGTCATGATAACTATGCATTATTTGAGTCAAAATTTGAATTTTCCCTGGATCACTAGAAAGAAGCATCCTCTTATAGAAACTCAAGGAGTCTCTAAACTTCAGGAGCATCCAGCACACTGAAGGTTACTTGTATATGCCATGGTAATAAGCCTTACAATATATATCCCTTGCCTATACAACCAAGTTTAAATATAAAAGAGTCCATGAGCATATGAAAATATTCTTGTTAGTGATTTCCCTTATCTTAGAATAACTTTTCTCGTCTGAAACACTACTGTTGTTTTCTTACATGAAAAAGTAAAGCTTAACATGTTTTACCTTTTCCAAATCAGTGAACTTCTCCTGAAGTTGTCTCTTCTCCAGCTCTACTTTTGCTAGTAATATTTTGCCAGTTTTTAAATCTTCTTCTAGGCCAGATATTCTACCTAAAAATTAAGAATTTTTTTAGAAACAATATACCCACAAAGTTACATATACATTTAATCAAAAGTAAAGAATTTGGAAGCTGCCTCAAATTTTGGAACTGCTATTTGTGAGCCAGTTTTATATGTGTCAGCATAGTGCTTTTCAGTTAATTCAACTGAAGGCCAAAGTACCACCTAAGGAATCTATCTGATACTGGCATACTACTTTAAAGTAAATCTTCAATTCATAAAATTTTGTATATATGATTTCTAATGTTAACTTTACATAGTAGTATCACACTTAAAAATGTGCTACCTATAGCGTATTATCCACCATCTAAAATTATTTCCAAAATACGGATCACCAAAGTTAATTCTAGTGCAATCTCTACTTTCATACCCTGTAAATCATTAATGATCTCCGATCCGTGGGTCCGGTCCCTCCTTTCAGATTCCAGAGCTGACTGAAGATTGATAAATTCCTTTTCAAGTTTTAACTTGGCAGTCTCCAGCAGGCAGTTTTTATCCTGTAGATCTCTATTGTTAGATTCTAGCTGCTGAATCTGTTTTGAACTTTCTGCCTGGGTTTTTCTTAACCGGGCTGCAGTATCAGATTCTGTTCGCAGCAAAGCATTGGTTTCATCTAGCTGTTATTCCATTCAAAAGCAAACAAATAAGCACAGTTATATTTAATGAAAAGACACCAATTTATTACTCCATTACAAACTATTTAAAATAAGCAAAAACCTAAAAGTCTTTTCCTAAGGACTTCTCTTATAATTAGAGACAAAGGCCTTTTTGCAGCATGCCAATTACAATAAATGTTAACAGGCCATTGTAAATAAAACTCAGTATCTTTTTACAAACTGAGATCTACCTACTTGTCTCTGGAGTTGATTTACTTTCTCAGTGGAGATTTGAGAGTTCTGATTTCTTTTTTTCAAATCTTCAAGTTGATCTTTTAAGCTGTTAACTATGATTAAAAAAGGATTTCAGTGGCAAGTTTCAACACAACACACACACACACACACACACACAGATTTTTCTTGGTAAGCATTTAATATTGTACACCACAAACCATCATTTTCCAAATTTCGTTTCTTGTCTGCCTCATGATCAGCTTTCCGCTGATACTCTGCATTTTTGTGCTGAAGAAGTGCCTTTTCTCTTTCCAACTGTCTTAATGCTGATTCCACATTTTTCCTTAAGGTAATCTGAAGTAAAATTTAATGCCATTATCAATAAGAAGGATCCACAAAAATCAAATCAGAACATTTCAGTTACTTCAAACAGATAAGGGACCTTAGGCTGATACAGTTTTGGTAAAACTATTAATGCTTCTCATGTTTGTACAATAGCAAACTACTTTTAAACAGTGAAGACCATAAACATTTTATTTACTATTGAAAGTCAAACTCTGTAATTTTCCATCACTACTGAACCATCATTGTTTAACACTAACTATATGAATAGCAATTAAAAAAGTCACTTTGTGTTTTTAAACCATGCCATTATAATAACAATACAAAGGCAATTTTTTTTTTTAACTTGGAATACCTACAGATACTAAATTAACTCAAGGTTGTAAAAACAGAATGAAGCCTAGGTAACAGAAGTTACCCTATAATTTTGGTCTTGTTTACCAATGTACCACATAGTACTATCTGTCAAGATACTAGTTCTCTCAGTAAGTCAGACATCAAAGATTTTCACTAACAAAAACAGAAGTATAGGTACCTAGTACTACCAAAAAACAAAACAAAACACAAACAACAACAACAACAAAAAAAAAAAACACAGAAAAATTTACCTCCTCTTCTAACTCCTTGGTGGTTTTCTCCAGGCGAGTATTAATAGATCTAAAGAATTTCAAAATGAAACAGTAAATAAGATAATTTTAATTTGTGATAAAAGCATAGTCTATAAAAGTATATAATTACTTTATAGCTCTTCTTTTATTTTGTAAAATATTTAAATTGTAAAATAGAGTATTTATATAGAAAACATACTTGCACTTTTGCTCTAGCTCTTCTTTGGCTTGTATCTCATTGGTAAGTTGTTCTTCTAGTGTATATACTTTTTTCTGAATCTGTAAAAAACAAACTAAGTTTTGGTCACATTTAAAGATGAGACCAAAACAATGACTGGCTTATTTTGCCTTTCTACTTTATATGCTCTCCTTTACAGTGTACAGTATTTGTGCCTGCTAAATAAGACTTTTAAGAGGCAACCCCCCACCTCTCTTCCATCACAGTGTACATGTATGAACACTTGCACAAACATGAGTAGAGAAGCTCTCACTTTGGCAAAACTATTCTATGACCTCAAGATTCAAATTTGTACCCTCAGCTTACCTCACTGTGCTGGTCTTTAAGCAAACTAACCATACAGAAACTATTAAGTCATCCAGTTTTTAAGTATTATTTCCTTTGAAAAGGATGTAACTTTTTGAGTTCCTCTGGTACCTTACTTTACAAGAGTTGTCTTATTAATTCTACAGAAGCCATAAGAAGACAATGGTGTTATATCTATTTGATAAAGAAACCAAAATTCAAAGCAAGGAGAATATCCATGGCAAAATAGCACACCTAACCCGTGGTAGTGACAAAACTTAATCCAGATCTACCAGATTCCAAAGCCAACGCTCTTTCCACATTCTGTCTAGTGATTACGTTGTCCGTGCTTTCTTAAATACCTCGTGTATCTTAGGAAAACATTACTGTCCCCAAATAAGAATATATAAGCTAACAAACTAGTCAAGCTTAACTGCTTTCCTCCTACTGCATTAAGTTTGAGCACACTACTTATTACAAGCTAACCAGAAGTTCTTGCTACCAGTTATAAATCCTTGGCAAATAAAAACAAGAAAATTACAGAATATGTATTTTAAACAACAGATCCAGAGGAAAACAAAAGGGATACTTGGTAGAAAAAAGGTTGGGAACTTCTCTCTTGGATAGATGTTGTACTCCAAATGGAAGGTAGATTGTGACTATATTACAATATCACTAGACTGCTGAGTTTTTCAATAATTTGACAACATACCTCTTGACTTTCCTATTAAAACAAACAAACAAAAAAGAAACATTACCATGCTATTTATGCTTTGTAAAATTCCTAAAACAAAAGTCCTATCAAAATTATCTAACTTATTTTTCTACTTTTTCATAAATTTCAAGGAAAAATGTTTATTGTTGTAATTTATGCATATGTGTCTATGATTTAGCTTTGTGCCAATGACAAATTATAGGAGTCCCAAAATACCATTAGCACTCTGAAGGAAATCCTTTATATACATTTTAAAATAGGAAGTCAGAAGTTGAATCTCTTCCCTACATCTGTACTTTATAGCTTACTATCTGTAATCTTTCACAGCACTAAGATCATAAAGTTTTCTAACTGGTATTTTTATAGCTGTTTATAAAACTCATTCTGTCACTTTGCTACTACATTAATCCTAAAGACATTATAATTCATCTTTTTACTAGCCATCATGTCTCAAACAATTATACTATTTACATAAACGAATCATTTCAATGTTATGTTGAATTGCATCACACAACAAATGCCATCTTATGATTCAAAATGTAACATGAAGCTGGGCATGGTATGTGGTGATACATGCCTGTAATCCCAGCATTTGGGAGGCTGAGGTAGGAGGATTGTGAGTTCAGAGCAAGTTTGCACTATATATATAGTGAGTCCCTGTCTCAAAAAAAAAAAAAAAGAAAAAGAAAGAAAGTAGCATCAAGTGAACAAGAGCATTTAAAAAAATTATTGGTGGGATGCAGTGACTCATGCCTGTTAATGCCAGCTACTTGGGAGGCAGAGATTGGGAGGAATGTGGTTTGTGGTGCCCAAGCAAAAACTTAGTAGGACTCCATCTCAATCAATAACGTAGGCATGGTGGTGTGTGCTTATCTATGATCTTAGCTACCCAGGAGGCTATAAGATAGAGGACAATTGATGGCTCCAGGCAAAAATGTGAGACCCTATTGTGAAAAATAATGAAATATAAAAAGGCTGTGTCTGGCTTAAGCAGTACAGTGTCTATCTAATAAGTGTGAGGCCCTGAGTTCAAACCCTAGTATCACCAAAATGTATACATACTTCATTTTTCCTTGATTGTACTGAATCATTTTCTCTACAAGATGGAGAGTCACTTAATAACCTACAAGGAAAGAAGAAAATTCTTTTGCATTTCATTGTTAATACAATGTCTTATTCAATCAAGTTATTCTCAGAATTAAATATCAGCCACAAAGATTTTTCTTTCTTTTCACTTAAATCTATTCTTTTATATGAAGTATAGTTTTGCTTCTGGTATTTATACCATTTTCAGAAATACAAAATGGTAAACTTTTCTTGCCTTTCTCTATATGATGGCCCTAGTCTAATTTTATTGGGACTGGATCTAGACTTCCTTCTTCATCTCATTTGAGGTCTGCTCCCCAACTGGGGGTTGAACTCAGGACCTTGCATTAACTATGCCAATGCTCTACCAGTTGAGCCATGCCACCAGTCTTCATTTGAGTCTCTGTAACTATTGTATTCTTCTTCTACCCCATCTTCTAGAAAGAAGCAGCTTTTTTTCAAAGTAGACATCCCATGATCTGCAGGTCTTAAAATATAAATCATCACTCGTGTTTTAGTGTTATTTTCTTTTTCTCTCTCTTAATTGGGTCCTCCCCCACTGCAGACAAACATGCGTGGGTTTCGCCTAACACTGATATCCTCAGCTTGCATGATTATGCAAACTTTTCAAATATTAGGAGGGTGCCCAACCTATTCTAGTTTGCCAGGATTTTCCTGGTTTTATTATAAAAATCCCATGTTTTCTCCTAAGAACCAGAGCTGAGGAAACCAAACTGTGACAGCTGATTACTCCAACCATTACACACATGGATATGCAAAAAATTTCTCAAATGCCTCATCCAACTATTTAAGCTTTCATTGCCTGTCAATCAAAACTCCCTTAGCAGAGCCTGTAGCAATTATTTATTGTGTTATTCTTCCCCTAAACTCTGACTTCAATCTATTCTCTAATTTATGTTCAGTACTCACTTCAGTTAACAATTATTTACTGAACGACTTTTCATCAGGCTCCATGCTAAATGCAGAGATTACAGGCAAGAAAAGTGCAGTCTCATCAGGTCCTCCAAACAATCACAATACAGTAGCACATCCAGATGTTTGAGCCCTACTGGACTACACTACTCCCAATGTGTGCTTACATTCAAAACTTTTGCTTCCACTATTCACCTCATCGTAATTCTCTCCTAACCTCCCTATAACTCTCCCCAGCCTCCCCACATCCTGGCCACTCAGAATCTTTTCCTATTGTCAGCCTTAGCTAAAATGCTTTCTCTTCCCTGAGGTCTTAAGACTTCTCCCTACTCCTACTCAAAAGAATTGTGGCTTTTGATTTTTCTTCTGAACCATCTCAAATTCTCCTGGCATCTTTCAAAGGCAAATGAATGTGAATTCTACCCTTCTTTATAACAAAATAATTCTTTTATCTTTCATGAGGTGATATTTGGTCTTATTCTATATCCTCAAAAGATTATGGATCAGTTCCTTGCAATTATTTGCAAATGATATCATATACCATTCAAACATCAAATAATGAAATAAAATGAAAGACAGTTCTGATAGTCCTTTTGAAATAAAACAAATTGGGCAGGGGAAGAAGGGAGAAATGACCCAAACATTGTATGCACATATGAATAAAAGAAATAAATTTAAAAAAAATAAATACAACAAATAAACACTAATTTTCTATTATTCAGCCTCAAAATAAGACATCCTCTTACAGCAAGACTATGAAGACAATAGAAGTTAAATAAATCACATACAAATTTTCTCTATAGTAGGTAAATCCTATGAAAGGCAGCTGATTCCCTACAAAAGCTTTGGGAATTGGGAAAGTCTCTACATCTCCTTTATCATCTTCAATGTCATCAAAATTGCTGCTGTCTATATCACTGCTGAGTTCAGGTACTACGGGAGCTGCCGCTGTTAAATAAAAGAAAGAAATTATTTCATTCACAACCAAAATACTTTGACTTATGAGATATTAATTTATAATTAATCACAGTATATTTTATTATATAAAATTTTAGCAACATCCATTTCATCATTTCATAGAATTAGAATTTTATCATTTATTACTCTATTAGATCAGCTTTAAATATGTATTAGTACATTAAATAAGGGAAGGCATATCATATTATCCTAGACGCTAAAAAAATTACAAGTAGCAGTAACTTATACACATATTTTGAGTCGTCAATTTTCTACATTTTTTTTTTCTCTTTGCGGTACTGGGGTTTGAATTCAGGGTTTCACACTTGCTAGGCAGACACTCTCCCACTTGAGCCACTTTCCAGCCCTCTACATTCTTTAGACAGAAATATTTCTTATCCTTAAAATGAATCAATGCCATGTATACACAAAGTAAAAATGAATCACTATACTATGCAATACCACAGTATGGTCTCTGTAAATAATTGTTTTATCAATTCAAGTGCATTCACATTAAAGAATTATATTCCCCTCCTTATGAAAATTATTGAGATTCACAAAAACTTCCCTTGGAAAATTAAGAAATGTATACTGTTAATTACAAAAGAATTGGAAAATATTGCTAAAAAATATGTAAGTTTACAAGATACCGAGAAAATATTTAGTTTCAAATATTACCACAAAAATTCTGAAATTTCTCAATTTAAAAACAAGGTACCATAAAGTGTACCAAATATGCCTGTTATTTCAAAAGAGGAAATCAATGAATGAGATTTAAAATGTGATGGGTTGGAAATACTTAAGATTTATCGACTTACTCTCTCTTATGTTATCCCAATTCCATTGATCATTCTTAAAAAAAGGATGCTGTTTGATTTCTTCTACCCCACTTCTCCCGAGTCGTACCTCCCTAAACAATGCAGTTAAAGACTATATTATAAAAAGTTAATTATGAAAAAGTAAAATATCAGCTCTTATTGCAATGGCTTAATCAAAATAAGGATCACAAATGAATTTGATTTTTTTTTTAATTAAAAGCTTCAGCTTAAATGTTTCTCAAAAGCAAGCAATCCCAATTTTATGGTATGTAATCTCTGGAGAGATTAAAGACTGTGATGGACAGTAAATGATATGGACAGTGAAATATATGCCCATTGGTACTCATGTGAAATGAAAGTATATGAGACTTTCAAATAAAAAAAATTCCCCTGTGCATAACAAACCTCACGTCCCATCAACCTCATGATAAGAAGGGTCTAACTTTGGACTAAGAAGAGTTATTTCAAACCTCCCCAATAGAGGTATTATTTTAGAATTTTCTCTCTTTTCTGAAAAATTACAAAGTTTGCAGTTATCCATATTTACCAATAAGTAGATCTCAACATTTATGAACATTCTGAATACAAGAGAAATGTTACTAAGAATTTCATTCTTTGGCTGTCTGCATCTTCATGTAGACTGCATGGACACAGAAAGCATCTGTTTTCCTTGTTTAACACAAACAGGAAAACTGTGCACTTAAAGGAACATGCTTCTAGACACATTTATGACATTACACTATCTTCAAAATATCTATTCTCCACTTAAAATCATTCCTTAGCCTGCATTCCTCCCAATAAATTGCTAAAGCAAATCTTCCATGAACAGTATGCCTTTATTAACATATGCTGTGACTTGTTTTAGAATGCAACCTTACCACCCCATTTGGTCCCCAAATCAAACATTACACAGGCTATATTTTGAGTTTATTAGTATTGACTGTTCATTAATCACGATTAACACATTTTTAAAGTTTTATTTAACAAATGACTGAAAACACATAAAAATGATTTTCCTAATAAAGGAAAATAAAAATTTTAAATTTTGGTAACATTCAGTTTTATGAGAGAAAACCAGTTATTGTTAACAGAAAAATACACTGATTTAACTTATCCAGGAATCAATTTTGAAAAATCACTTAATTTTAAAATGTTAATTCTAGAATTTCACATTTATGATTTTATCCAATAAGGAGTATGCAGGACAGTCACTGCAACACTAACAGCAACTAACAATAATAAGGTGTGCTGAGTAACTGAACTAGAAATACCTCTAGTTATCTAATCTGAGTCCATCACTTTATGGAAGAGAAAATTACTTCATAATCATCTCGCCAGAGCACAAAGCTGCTAAGTAAAAGTTGGGACTAAGGTGCAAACAAAGCATAATATGCATTAGTATATGCTAGGATGATTCCTATCACAGGTGTTAAGTAGGACATCAGAAGAGAACTGAATAGAGAAGCCAAATAAAAAAATTCAAATAATTTCCTATTTGAAATTTTCTGAGACAAGTTTTCACACCTTTGTTCATCTATTTGTTTTTAAAAACATAGAATTTCTGGGACAGACTTGTGGATATTCAAATGCAAATAAAAAAGGTGGGAAGGAGGCACCACCACCTCAAACACAAATAGTTTTTAAGACTCTAAACTGTTGAGTAAATGTCTTACAAACTGCTCTCCTATTAAAAGTTGTACGATCAAGAGTAATATGGATTAACCACTTTAAGGGTAAAATATGAATAATACGAAAGTTTTTTATTTCTCTCAAATGCATTATTTTACTAAATTCTGGTTTTTCTTCTCAGACATGAGGATTAAGGCTGGATTTAGATTACAACTGGGCTGCACACACAAAAAAGGATGAAGGTAACCCAACACCAGGCTACAGTGCGGAAAAAGGCTAATTACCCAGAATTGAATGCAACTTGGATAATAATAAAAGACTGATTTCATATGTAAGCAAATCAGGTATGCTTTAATTTCTACAAATTTAAAAGTAAAGGGCTTCTCTGCAAAGAAATTCTGTGTCCATTACCTGTCGGTTAAGAAGGCACAGATGAGATTCTTCGCATGCTTAGAAATCTCTGCATCTTCAGGGAAGCACAGTGAATTCTTATGATCCATGATTTTGCTGTAAGTTCCTACAAGGGAATCTGCATAAAATGGAGTATCCCCTAAAATTTCAAGAAAGAATACACTCAATGTAATAATGCAAATTAAATGCTTTTCACCTAATATTTAAATACGTTAAGTTTAAATTTTCTCACAATCATAGAAGAAGAACTGGTCTGTTGAGCAGAAGGTTCCATTAAACAAATAAGACTGGCAGTGTGGCTCAAGCAGTAGAATGCTTGCCTAGCAAGTGGGAAGCCTTCAGTACCACCAGAAGAAAACTCAAATACACACAGGCAAAGAAAATATTTAAAATTTAAACACACCTCCCTTAAAAGTAAAATATAACTAATGCTAACTCCAGGATTTGTTCTTTTTTTGTTGTTTTTCTTTGCCCTCCCCTCCCCTTCCTGCAAGCCTGCCTACCTTCCTCTCTTCCTTCTATTTCTCTCCCTGCCACACCCCAACCCAGGGTTTCAATAAATGAAAACTGAAACTCCTAGTTATATACATTAGCTGCATACAAAGTGTTACTTGCAGTCAGCAGCTACTACACTGGACAGTGCAGAAATGAATTGTCTGTACTGTGACAAAATGGACAGTGCTGCCCTGAGAGTCAGAACACCTCTATGAAGAAGCAGGGCCCAAAGAGATGGCAGGAGACCTGCTTAACATGACAAACAGCTAGACCTGGACTAGGGAAGAAATCATCTTCCCTAGTGCAGTGTTCCTGCTGACTAGTGACAGTGGTAAGGAGGAACTGAAGCAAATGTAAATGGCTTGGCTTTTGCCATTATTCATCTGAAGCCACAGGGGCTAAGGGCCCAGCCAGTATACCTATATTCCAAGTAACTTTAGTGCAAAGCAGACTACCCCCAAATCAGCCAGTCCAAAACTTCAAAAGGTGTATTCAGATAGTTATTTGTTGTTTTGAATTCAAAAGAGCTAGAGGGGAGCAATGAATTCAACACTTTTCTAGCATTTTTTTTAAGTACAATAGAATCCTTTAAATGAAGTCCAATGCCACCAACCTGAGCAAGCACCATAGCAGGCTCACAATACATCAAATCACCGCCATTCAAACTAATTCAGCTCTCAAACTTGAAAACAGTAGTGGAAATTGAAATGGCCACTTCATATAAGCCAAATTACTTCCTCCAAAGTACCTTTTATTTTCTAAATCCCTAGAAACAGAGGCTAGGCAAGTAAAAGAATACATTCTACTTTTAAAAGATTACAAGAAACATCCTAATGCATGATCAGATTACACGTCCCAAGTGGGAGAAAAGACAGCTAGCTGGAACCACAACCACTTAGTGTGTACTCACATTCACTACAAAGAAAGGCCCAAGACAAAGTAGCTGACATCATAACATGACTACACAAGATCCATGCTACATACACAGAACTGCCATCAAGAGAAGGCAATTCATGCCATAAGAAAGGCTGCATAGTAATTATTATTTAAATGTTGGGATTTACCAAAAATTCTGAGTTTTTAGCAATAACCATACTTTCTTTTACAGTACCAATTTCTTTTAGGGTCATCTTCTAGAAAATAAATTCTGTGATTCCAAAAACACCTTTTCAATTCCTATTAAATGTCCTTCGGCTTATCACACTTGCCTTGGAAAGCAGATTTGGCTACATTTCCCCTCACCCTCAAGCCAGTAATTCAGTCACTGGCTTCCTTGCCCAGGGTACATTTGTGACCCTAGCATTTTTTTTATGACCCTAGCATGTTGGAATGGAAAAACTTAGGAATGAAATTTCTGCTATAAAGAAAAATTTTGAAATAACTGAGCTTCTCAAATTTTGATTTTTTTGTCAAAGTAAATGATACTATTAAATTTGCCTCTGAGCTTTCTGAAAACTGAAGCAGTATAAAAATATATGTCTTGATAATCAAATAGTCAATATAGTTAGTTATGGTTATGATAAATCATTTGGAATCACAAGCCAAATATATACAAATTGTAAGGAAAAGGAATATAGTTTACAAAATCAATTACAAAAAAATTACAAACTACAGAATATTTCTAGGTTATTACTGGAACAAATATTAACAGCTTTATATTTAAATGTTTATAATAAATATGGTTATCAAGAAAATCTTAGAATGGAGGTCTACAGAAGCTATAAATTTGCTTTATTTTGGTGGTTCTGGGGATTGAACTTGGGGCCTCTAACACTTGAGCCATACCCCTACTCCATTTATCTAGGCTTGGTGGTACATGTCTTAAATCCCAGCACTCTGGAGACCGAAGGAGGAGGATTATGAGTTCAAGGCCAGTCTGGGCTACATAGCAAGGCCCTGTGTCAAAAACAAAAATGTTTCTACAGAAACATTTGCTCGTAATATAATTTCAGTTCCTTTCATGTCCTACTTATTGTCAATGACTGTGCCAGTCATATAAGATACTATTACAAGCTTCTAGAAATTACAGTTCTTTTCTAGGACATAGGAAATTTCTTTATATTCTAAGAAACTTGAATAAATTAAAATGTTATGAAAAGGGCTTTGAAAAAAGAAAAGTTAAAATATTTACTTACCCACTAACATCTCAAAAAGGAAAACACCTACAGACCACCAATCACATTCTCGCCCATAGTAACCATCACCCCCTTGTGATTTCAGAACCTCAGGTGATATATAATCAGGTGTTCCAACTGCTGTATCACAATGCACCATGCCTGTCTGGGTAAAAAGCAGAGATTTAAAAAAAAAAAAAAAAAACCCACACACACACACACAAAACCAAGCCAGACCAGTGTGAAAAACAGACTCATGTGTATAATTTCTGTGTATGTGTGCAGACACTGATGGAATAAATTCATTTATTAGACATATGGTGGCAACATATTGCTACCAAGATAACTTCATTTCTGACATGGCTTCTGGAAACCAGGAATATATGCATTATGAAATAGATAAAAATGTTTGGATTATGGGATTATGGAAGGCTTCACTAATGAAAGAAGAAAAAAGTAACTCCTGACACTCTGCAAATCAACAACTTTTCTTCTTATTTTGATGGTACTGGCATCTGAAATCAGGGCTTCACATTTGCTAGGCAGGCACTCTATCCTGAGTCATGCTTCCAGCCCTGAAGTAGTTCTAAGGGAAGTACAAAATGTGGTGTAAAGGTACCCAACATGGAGAAAAGAGAAGAATCATTATAGAAAGGAAGCTTTGATATTTTTAAAAGAATTTCAAGCACTTATGATGACAAAGGACCCCTACTTGGAAGCTGGATAAAGAAATGGTTCTTATTTTATCAAGAAAAATATTGAACTGGATGCTGGTGACTCATTCCTGTAATTATAGCTACCTGAGAGGCTGAGAGCTGGAGGATCATGGTTCAAGAATAGCCCAGAGCAAAATGGACTGGAGGTGTGATTCAAGTGGTAGATCACCTGCTTTGTAAATGCAAAGACCTGAGTTCAAACCCCAGTCCCACGGTGGCGGGGGCGGCGGGGTGGGGGTGGGGGGTTTCTTTAAAAAAAATAATAAAATCTGTACTGTAGTACAGAACTAAATAAAAGCTCCATCACCTCAAATTCTGTACAACTTGCAAAGATTTTATAGACTAGTTTAAATGCCCTTCATTTCCTTTAACTGCCTAATAAAGAGTGCCACCACATTTCTTGTAAGGAAGCTATTCAAGAAAAATATCAAAATCTGAGCTGGGATATAGCTCAGTGCTATAGAGTGATTGCCTAGCACACATAAGGCCATGGGTTCAATCCCCAGCACCACAGAAGACAAACAAACATAAATTTTAAAAAGAAAAATAAAAAGAGGGAAAAAAAAAAACCCTAAAATTCTGAGTATTATAACCCCCTTAGGAAAAGGAACTTCAATGTATTTTGTAGACACGATTCATGCAAATGTGTTTAAGTACTATAAAACACGTTAATCATGAGAAATTAATTTCAAAAACAGTACTTCATTCATCCTTAAATTGGCAAAAATAACTGAATGATTTTATTTCCCCCAAGTACACAGTAAATAGGACTAGAAGCCATTATAGGTTGAATATAAATTAATAAATTTTATGAAAATTGAGCAAACTATCACAGAATATTTCATGTGGATTGCTACACAGGCTAAAACAAAACAAGACAGTGTTTCACTTTAAAAATCAAGGTATGTATGCACATGTGAATAAATGAATAAAGAAATCAGGGTATATTATATTATATATTGTGGTGGGGATTGAACCCAGGACCTCAAACATGCTAGACAGGCACACTACCATGGTGTGTGTGTGCAGAGGGTTGGGGAGCTGCACTTTAACCCATACAACTAATTTTTGCCAATTACTACCTTAAAGTTTACACTTCTGTTGGGCAAAATTAATACACATTTATTAGGGTAAAGGAAATCTCTTTATTTTACATGAACCCACAGAAATTAGATTTTTAAAAAATGAATCTTATGAGATTTAAGAGCTAAGGCCTTAGTGAACACACACAAATACAATCAAAGAAAAAAAATATTTAGAATTCAAAGCTTCAGAGGAAGAAGCAGAAAGGGAAGGGTACAAGAAAGAATTGACCTCAAAGTAGGCAGTAAAGTTCCCACCAACTAAATATAAAGTTGCTCACAAGGAAAGTTGGAAGGGAAAGCTGGGTATCTGTTTCAGTAACTACTTGCAAACTAAACACTGGTGACACTAAAGATTTTTAAATAAGTAAGCTCTGTTGAATGGCACTGTCCTTTTGGAAGATTGTTCTAGCCACATTTTTTGGCTAGCATATTTTTTTAAATAAACACTTGAAAAAGATACTTAATATATTTTAAACTGTTTCATGAGAAAGCCCTCAAATTGTATGAATGTAGAACCTCCATTTATGCAAGTCTTTGATCTTGTTTAAAAGAAACACAAGGAGAAATCAGAAACTAAAGACATTGATTTATTTACGGTGAGGAAGCCGATGGGAAAAAGGGCAGAGAATAATGGAAATAGGGTGGTAAGAATAAGGAGCAAGTGATATTGCTCTGATTATATACTTTGTATAGTTCTAACTCTTTAAATCAGAAGAAGCTTTGCAGATTAAAAAGAAAGAAATGAACCTGTTCTCTAAATGAGTAATATACCACACTGAAGGATTAGGAAGAAAAGAACTACTCCAAGTAGCTTTGAAAAACAGTACAGGATATTATACAACTAAAAATAAAAAGTAAATAAAAAATAATATTAGCAAAGCTTTTTATATTATAGTGATTGGCAATTATGAAATAATTTTAGGTGTAAACTAGGATTGAACAAGTATATACAGTATAGATAATGACAGCCATGTTTTTTACTGTCAAAGGAAGAAATTACACAAAAGAAAGAGGACTAGACTAGAATGAACCCTGTGCTACTGTGTGTGCTGTTCTATCAGTAGGAACTCATAACATTCATATATCAAAGACAGAAAATTAAATATAAACATAACTGAACATGTAGTTCAGTATAGAGTGTATATAAAACATATCTCTTAGCTCTGTCCACTGACAGAGCCTAAAAGTGACCATACTCCAGGAGCAATGAGCTCATCTAGAAAACAAATGACTGACTCTGTACTACCATTTGCTAATAAAATGAATCAAAAGTTGGAGAAGTGGACAATTCTGGGACTGAAACAGAGAGGAAAAAAAAAGATCTTGAACATTTGGTACTGTCAAAAAATAAGAAAAATTTGGACATGGGTCATACACTAAGTGGAGAACGCATACAGAAGGAATAGGGAAAGTTTTTCAAAACTTGAAAGTGTTTGATGTGCCCATTGTAGAGGAGCTAATACAGTAACCTTAAACTGACAGAGGCCACTATGGGAAGGTGACCGAGAAGTAGTGAAGAGGTCTGGTAGAGATGAATCAATTCAGGTTGTAATAAACTTGTGCATGAAAACAATGCTAGGAATCTCTCTGTATAGCTATCCTTATCTCAAGTAGCAAAAACACTGTATCTTTCTTATTATTGGTTAGGTCTTCTCTTCAACAAGATTGGAGAAGAGGGCAGAACAGGTTCTGCCTGGAAGCAAGGGGGTTGGGGGGAGAAGGGGGTGGCAGGGGGGAAAATGGCCCAAACAATGTATGCAACATGTGAATAAATGAATAAAAAAAAAACAGGAATGACATCCAATTGCAAAAATAAAAAATAATAACAAGAAGAAAATGCTTTAAGGACACTGGAGCTAACCTATGGAGCCTTCACAAAGTAGAAGCTTTGAACCAAAGTTCAATGTATGAGTAGGAATTTGCCAGGTAGACTCTTAAACAGTACACATGAAGGCCAGGAATCATGAAATGCCACAGTATACAAAGAATTATATGGCAAATCACAACCTCTGAGCCATAAGGAACTGCCTAATGATAGTGAATGGGGATAAAATAGCAGGAATCATATCATAAAAGGCTTCATAAGACAATCTAAGGAGTTTGAACTTTATTCAGTAGGTTAACAGAAACCTACAGAAAGGTTTTAAACTGGAGAGCAAGATAATCAGGTAAGTATTTTCTAAAGGTTTCTCAAAATTATTTTCACTATATCAGATTAAATACTTGCTAAATATAGTGCTTTTTCAATGACAAAATAAAACAATTAAGAGTTTACAAAAAACTCAAAATTGGCCAATCAGTCTTGAAGTTGGGCTCAAAAACAATTCAAAATGCTTCCTAAGAAGTGGAAAATTGCAACTGGAATTCTTAATTATCAGAAGCTTTAAAGCCTCAGCTTGGCTGCTTCATAGACAGAAGGCTTTTAAGTCCATTTTGAAAATGACAAATGAGCACTTGGATCTCTTCAGAGGCACACTGCTGGCCTTGTAAGGATCTTGACTAGTGTGGTGCTGCCATTACTGCATTCTAACTGAACAGCCCAGGTGGATTTGCATTGCTGTAATACCCAGAACTACACAAAGCTGCTACCCTGGATTATCCCAGTTATCCCTTAGTACCAGTTATTTTCATTTTATAGCTCTGATTACAAAGCTGCATGGCTTCAGAATGGTCTACCTGCCTTGCTGCTATAAAGTAGCAAATGCAGCCTGGGGTATAACTCTAGTGCTAGAGAAGCATGAGGTCCTGAGTTCAAATCCAGTGCCACACAAAAAAAAAAAAAAACAGTAAGTGCTCCCATTTCTATTCTTATAGTGGTACAATTATGCAGAAAATAAGGTTTTTCAGAACATGAATAAAAACACCTATATTTTATAAAATGAGGTCGCTTGCAGAGGGTTAAGAACATTATCAATTTACCAATTAGCCTTCAAAAATTACAGCCTTGATCTATTCAAATGGTATACACCAGAATATTAATGGATACAATCTTACCTTATCTTCAGGCAATTAAAATACTAGTATCCAATGCCTTTTTAAAAGGTGGTAAGGGTTGCTACGAAATTCTTGACAGGCAAGAAGTAAATCTAACACATCTAATCCATGCAAATTATTTTAAATAATATTTCTCAGCTGTCACTGAGGTGCATCAGATGTTAAAAAAAAAAAAAAGAGCGATTCTCACATCCAGAAAAGCTTTTTTTTTTTTTTTTTTTTTTTTTTTTGAGAAAAAGGGAGAGGAACAGAATTCAGAAACTGTGTAAGTCACAATTTCTCAATGATAGAACTTAGTGATACTGGTTATTGTGATACTAACAAGTTGTTCACTCTTTTTAATTTATAACTTTATAGATATATTTTATTTTTGCTTTTATATATGACATAATGTTTTACAGGGAGCCAAGATAGCTGAAAATGATTTGAACATCTGTGTGTATTTATAGATAAAGGATGACAAACTTTCTCTGTAAAGGGTCAGATTGTAAATATTTTAGGTTTTGTGAGCAACAAAGGATTTATGTCTTATTTTTCTTCTTCTTTTCTTTTTAAAAAACAAAAACAAAAAAAAACGCTTTTTGCCGGGTACCAGTGGTTCACACCTGTAATCTCATCTACTTGGGAGGCTGAGACTGGGGGGATTGTGGCTTGAGGTCAACCTGGGGAAATAGTTCGTGAGATTCCCCTATCTCCAAAATAACCAGAGCGAAATGGGCTGGAGGTATAGCTTAAGTGGTAGAGTGCTCACTTTGCAAGCGTAAAGCCCTGAGTTTAAGTATCAGTGCCACCAAAGGAAAAAAAAAAGAGAGAGAGTCATAAATACAACCCTTTAGAAGTAGAAACCATTTTTATCACATAAGTTGTATACAACCAAACCATAGACCAGATCTAGCCCTCAGGCTCTAGTTTGTCAGTCCCACCCACAAGTGAATGAGAATGAAACTACAAACATTTCTGGAGCGTCAATGATCAAACAAAGTGATAAACCTGAAATCTGCAACAAAACTATTCATATTAGCAATATAAAGTTATGCTATATTTAATAATAGTTTTTATAATAAACTTTATTCTTCAACGTTATAGAATCATCATCATTATTACTATTACTTGAGAAACAGAGGTGTGGGCTAAAACAACTTAGGTAAAGTTCAGTATTTAAAAACATCTAGGGTCAGAAGCATGCTCAAGTGACAGTCTGCTTAGCAAGCATGAAACCCCAGTACTGCCAAAAAAAATTAAAAACATCTGACTACATTAAAATTGAGAATCTTTATCTTCGTTTTAATTACTTCTTCAAACAAAGGAACAGATAGATGGGTAGCAGAATGGAAGATATCAGCAACATGTGGAATCACAAAATTATATAAGGAATCCCTACACATCAACAAAAAACCAACTTAAAAAGGGCCAGAGGATACAAAGGCAATTCACAAAAGCAAAATAACTGAAAAGTATGTGAGAGAGATTGGTCTTCATTAGAAGGGCTACCAAGGCTATGAAGAGACTGCTAGTAAGAAGTTATAAATATTTACAGCCTCTCTGGGACCAGGCAATACTTTGTGTACCCTCTGATACAGCAGTATCACTTCCAGGTTTATAATTAGAGAAAACCTTATCAGGATACACACAGGACATGTGTGATTGTTCAGGACAGTGTTGCTGACAGTAGAGAGGTGGTGATGATCTAGGAATCCAACCCCAAGAGGATAAAAAGATAGATACTATGGAATACTAAGCAACAGTAAGAAGCAATACACTAATTTCTATTACCAGGAACAGACATAAAACAATGCTAAATGACAGAAGTATACAAAATGATACCTATTATATTATTTATATAAAGAAAGACAAACACTATATATGCACACTATGCGAATTCTGTATAAAAGTGTAAGGTGAACACATTACAGTGGCTGACTATAGGGAGAACAAAGAGGACACTGAAAAGAGGAAAGCAAAAATAAAAAACACATTGGGGACTTCATGCAGTCTACTCATGACAATAAACTGTAAACCAAGAACTAAAATGAACTCAATTGTTTTTATTTAAATTTTTTTAAATCATAAAATTAAGTAAGCCACATTTTAAAGAGACAATTTAAGATGTCCCAATAGCCAATTTTATTATTTGCTTACAGGCTTGTAAAAAATATTTTATGAATACTACATTCAGTCCTATTCCTCATAATCTCATACTACAAGGTTAATGTTTCTTTCATTAACTTCCTCTGAAACTGTGGGGCGCTTTATTTTTCTGTACCTTACTCCATTCCCAAAAGCTATTGCTTTAATTAAAACCAGAATACACTCATGGAAGTACAGTACATAAACATCATAGTTATGTATACCTCAAAGAAAAATTTAACAGTCTATCAAAAAATTATTTCATACTTTAATTTCATTACAGAAAATATTCACAGTTAATCATTTCATACCATATTATGGTAAATACCACAAGAGAGCTTTGGCAACAACAACAAAAAAAACTCCACTTATTAAACATTGATCAATGGTTGCAGAACATAGTAACAGACTCTAGGAAGAAAACCAAAAGAGTAAGAATCTGACATTTTAGCTAAGAAGACTAAGACAAAAATGGCCTATGAAGTATTGTACTAATTCTGAATAAGAGAGGACATAATGACTTTAGGACAGTGATTAGAAACAGAATTATCAGGGAAAATTTTCTAGATGAGATAAAATCTGAGCTGATTTTGAGAAAATCATTTCAGTAACAATGAAAGTCAAACAGGTGGCAGGAATAAGTTATGGGGTAAAGAAAGAAGAAAATTATCTTAATTCAAAATACATGTCTTGACTAGATAACTAATAAGACATAGATTAGCTATGTAAGCATAATGGAAGTTAAGGAAACCATACCAAAGATGGTTAGTACATGCTAACATTTATAAAGTATCTCCTAGATCCAACAGACAGATAAAAAACACATGATCCTGTTCCATGAGGAATTATGGTACACTCAGAAAAGAATAAAACATACATTGTGCAATCAAAGTAAACCAATATCACAATTAGCTATAAGGTTAATGTTACTAAACCTATTAAACATAACATGAATTTTGATAGGTAGAAGCATCACATTAAATCATGTCCCCAAATTTATTCTATATGGTTGATGCAGAGAAGATGGGTGAAGTGGTAACATAAATTTCTTTCCTGATCTTACCCTATCTCTTTTTTTTAAAAGAAAAACTACAGAAATAACGATGGCAGTGGAAAGACTGTGATTTACAGTTAGTGTCGTAAGTCTACACCTAGACTGTTATGTACCATGAACCAGACGTGACTGCCAGTGTTCTTTAAGGAAAATAACCTCTTGCATTCACTGAATCTTCTAACAAAGTATTTTACTGGTAGATGAATGATTAGTAAAGAAAATGTTTGGGTTTATCTTGTTTGATCTGTTACACGATTAGCAAAATTAAATTTATTATTCAAACTACAAAGTCCTTATTTGCATTTGTTTCTGTTTCTCAAAGAAACTAGCGTGATTTGACTTGTTACTTACTTCGTCCATCTTCATACATGTGCCAAAATCTGCTAATTTTAGATGTCCATGTTTATCCAAGAGCATGTTGTCAGGCTTCACATCTCTGTGTATTAAACCCATAGAGTGTATTGCATCCAGAGCAAGAACAACTTCAGCAGTATAGAACTTGGCCCATTTCTCAGGCACATCATAATTACTCATAAGGTTTACAAGGTCTCCTCCAGGCATGTACTCCATTACCATGTACAGATACCTATCATCTTGAAAAGCACAAAAGAGCTAGGAAGCAAAAGGAAAAGAAAAAAAAAATTAAACCAAAAACAAAACCATCAACAGAACAAAACCCAAGTAGCATTGTTACTAGTGAACTAAACAAATTATAACTAAACTGGAGTTAAAATTTATGAAATCTTTTATTTTAGGCTTAGACATTTTGAATGAAGAAACAGTAGCAGACACAATTTTTATATGGGTAGGTACATCATGAAACACGCATAAATGAATGTTTTTCTCTCTTGTAAAATACAATACAGGAAACTAAGCAGAAACATTTTAAAGCAGAAACAATAGGACTAAGGAACATAAAAGATAAAAACAAACAGCTTAGGGCTGGCAGAGTGATTCCAGTGGTAGAGCACCTGCCTACAAAGCATGAGGCCCTGAGTTCAAACCCCAGTGCCACCAAAAAAAAAAAAAAAAAAAAAACAGCTTGGAGGCATGGCTCAAGTTCTAAGTTCAAGCCACAGTACCAGGTTTCTGAAGACTAAGAAAACTGCACAAACCTCAAATAAAAGAGAGCTAAGGTAAGAGTATTTCAGAAACATCTAAAAGATGCCAGACTCAATAGATAGAAGAGGGAGTAAGCCCCATTCCAATGGAAAGAATGAGTAATCGGTAGCCACACTTGGAACAGGACTAAGTCCTCTCTCCACTTCCCATTCTCTTATTCATGATAAGTAGCAAGTGACATTGTTACCTGCACCCAGACTATGCAGTGGCACTAGGTTGCTACCAGATCCCAGAAGAAACTGAGAAAACACAAACTCAGAAGGGGGAAGGAATCTACATATTCCACCAAATAACATGCCCCACCCATCCAGGGAGCAAGCAGTGCAACCAGAAAGGATTTTCATAAACAAAGAAAAAATAGAACAACCCTAAAAATCAACATTTGAGAAAAACCAACATCATGAAATAGAAGAAAAACAATCAAGAACTGAAATTAATACTCAAGGAAAAACTTAAGACAAACTGAGGACAACTTTAAATATATAAAATCAACACCCACAAAAGAAGAATGTTGCATCACTTAATTAGTAGGCTGATAAAAAAAAAACTTGTGTCAAAAAATTAAATAGACTGATGACAGATCAAATTACAGAGCTAGAATATTGCTCCTAGAATGTTAAGCAAAGAAATTTTCTCTAAAAAACTGGAAGATTAAGAGATGAACTACAGAGTAAGGCTAGTAAAGATCCAATACCTATCTAAAGGTCAGAAAAGGGTAGAAGAAAAAGAAATAGAAAATAAAAAATTTGTAGACATGAATTACATTAAAAATCTAAGATCACAACGACCTTTACAGAAAACAGAGACGACATTAGACAACCAGTGCTAAATTTTCAGCTATCCAAGAGAAAAATCCTAGAAGTTATTATAAAGACAACTTACATTCAAAAACATAAAACCAATCATACTTACAAGAAACTTCTTAGTCAATATACTGAGTACAAAAGACAAAATAGTAATATCTTCAATGTTCTGAGGGAAAATAACTGTGCAAGCTAGAAGCAATGAAATGTCAAAATGAAATTTTATAACTGACAAATTATTTCTGGAAGAACAGTTCAGAGACACAGTTTGATAAAGTGAAGAATAAATCCAAGGAGAAGATTATGTGAGAAATGGGAAAGGGAAAACAACCTGGAAAAACCCACTAAGTATAATTACTGCCACAAAATTACTTATTTGAGAATCAAGCCAAAATCACAGTAAATTTTAATGGAAGGCAATGGAGTACAAGGAAGTAAGAGATGAAGAGCATTATCAAACTGAGAACAAAAACTTGTGTCTGTGCACAGCATGTTTAACTCTAAATGACTAAAAGATGTCAACAAATGAAAAGCCAACACATGTTCATGGAATGGAAGATTCGATATTATCAAAAGGGCAATTCTTTTTAAAATTTCTACTTATTCATTGTTTTTTCTGTTTTTCATTAGCATAAATTTATTGTACAAGGGAGTTTCATTGTGATGTTTACACACATGCATATAATGTATGATGATCAAAGCCCTTTCCTCCTCCCTGCTTTTTTTTTTGGCATTACTGAAGTTTCAACTCTTGTCCTTGTACTTGCCAGGCCAGCACATTACCGCTTGAGCCACACCTTTTTAAACAGTTTTTAGTGGGCTTCATTATGATATGCATGCATGTATATATGATATATTACATATGTTACGTATGTATAGATACTATTCTTTTATCATATTCACCCACCTACCCTCTCCTTTCACTTTCTTCCCCAAACAGTTCCCCTTTTATAATCACCAAAATGGAATTTCTCCCCATACCAATTAATATATTTTCAATGCACTAATTCCCAAGATTTTTTATTCCCCCATAGAGCTAATCTTAAAGTTTATTTGGAAATTCACAGCAATTCAGAGAGATAAAACAATCCTGAACTAGAACTGAGTAGGGAGACTTTTTTTCCAGTTTTAAAACTTGCTACAAAGCTACAATAATCAAGACCGTATTAGTACTGACATAACGATCAATATACCAATCAATGGAATAGAACAGAGTTCAATAAGAAACCCTTGTAATTATGGTGAATAAAGTTTTTGACAAAAATGCCAGGACAAATTAGAGGAGAATGTTTTTTCATTTTTTTAAAAATGTTTCTTGGACAATTAGAAATCTGCAGGCAAAAAAATGAACATTTTTAGACCCTTTAACACTGTATTACAAATTAGCTCAAAATTGAACACAGTCCTAAATTTAAAACTATAAAAATCTTAGGAAAAAATTTTCATGACCTTGGATCAGGCAAAGATTTCTTAGATACAATACCAAAATCATAACTGACAAAATGAAAATCTGATACTTAGGATTTCATCAAAACAAAATTTTTGTGGCCTCAAAGTTACCCTTAATAAAATGAAAAGATACGCTACACACACTGAGAGAAAATACTTACAAGAGGTATACAGCTGCTCCTTGATTTATGAGGTTATGCTCCAGTAACCTCATCGTAAACTGAAAATATCATTGAATTGAAAATGCACTCAATACATTTAACCAATCCAAAAAAAAAAAATCATACCTTAGCACTGTGGAGCATTGGTTATTTACTGCACTAGCTGACTGGGAGCTATGGCTGTTCCCACTGCCCAGTGACATAGAAAATTTAAAAATTCAAAACCCAAAGTCCACTTTCTACTGGATGTGTATTGCTTTCATATCACATGGTTAAAAAAAAAATTCTAAGTTAGCCAAAAGTGATGGTATCCACCTGTAGTACTTACTAGCAGACTGGGCAACATAGGGAGACACATCTTAAAAAATAAAAGAAAAAGTCTGACTGTGTGGACTGTGTGTATGATAAAGGCTTATATCTAGAACGTAAAAAACTCCTATAAACTAATATTAAGAATATATAACCCAATTTTTGTCACAATATCTTGATTATATAGACATTTCACCAGAACTATCAGTGGCCAACTAGCACATGAAAGATGTTTTACTGTTATTAGCATTTATGAAATTCATTAGTATTAAAACTCCACAATGACATACCACTTCTATGCCTATTAAGTGTGACAAACATGTAAAGTGGCACAATCACTTTGGAAAGT